CGACAGGAACCTATTATTTGTTTAATGAAGCATGGTTATTAAAGCATAATGGAGATATAACTGATTGAAATAACAGCTTGCTGTTTGCTTATTTATTTTTTTTTTCTTGAAGGAGATTTTCTTTCCCCCCTGTACAATTATCTCCAGAAATATTTTAATGAATAATTTTGTTTATAAATATCCTTATTCTGAGGCTGATATCTAAACATTCTACTATGGAGCTTCTGGGAAACACCCAAAGATGAAAAATGACCCATATAGATGGTAGCTAGCACTTTCTGGAAGAAATCTTGTTCACTTGCTTTCATCAGCTAATGGGATGATGAGAACAAAAAAGGATTATTTACATTGGTAGTATCTTAGCGTGATTCATTCCAATAGTCTTGCTTACAAATCTAGTTTCTATTCAATTGGCACAGAAAAATTGGAACTCAATTTATACAGCTGAAATAACAAAATGTTGCTTTAGAACTAATTTTGGAGTCTGCTGAAAGGTGTTAGAATAAGGTAAAGCAGCACATAGTTGATATTTCCATACTTATCTTGTCTCCTGTACAATGTGGTCCATTCTGTCATTTTTTTAGTGGTAAATTATTTCTGCTTTGTAGTTCAGAAATTAGTAGTGAGAGAAAAAAATGAAGCTTTAAAACCTGACATCTCAGTCTGTTCCGAGAAGAGCACTAAAATGTCAACTGATTTGCCAGCTATTAAGGCACAACTGCAGATTTCCATTAACACATTTATCTGCTGCAGTGGAACTGGTTCAAAGTCTGCTTCAAAAGAAGAAAGAAAAGATTCAGAGCAGGTCACTGCCTAAACACAGGGATTAAATTAACTGGAACAAGAGAAATTCACAGCTTCTTCCAGAAAGCTCACTGCTCTGCCTCACATGCTTCATTCACACTCTTTGGGTCTGTGGGTCCTAATGCCAATTATTTCTTTGTTTCTTGCGGTTTTCTCTGTTGGTTTCTGGAGGTATATTCTTGCAGAAATGATCAGCCTGTGAGGAGGAAATTATTTCTTTTGCCACAGGTAGAGAGAACAAAAAAAATGAAAGAGCAGTAATTTAGGAGTTGGATTTCATTCAAATTTTCATTTTTTCAATTCTTTCACTTTGTAAAACTTGATTTTAGAGTTACTTAACCCTGCCCAAACATCTGCAATAAAAACGGTGTCTTTAAAAATTATTCTGGTCTGTTTAAGGGAAGGAAGAAAATGTCTTCCACAAAGCTTCAAGGTTTTAACTTGCAAACCCTTGGATAGAAGTTGGGCCTTCACATCTGTATTCTGATGGCTCTGAGAGGGCTCCCTGCTTTGAGTGCACAATGGGAACAGGCTGGGCACATATTTAGGGCTGCAGTAGCTCTTTGCCTTTGTGCATCACAAATGCTTGTCATCCTCCTTGCTGCTCCATAGAGTCCCACCTGGTTTCCTTGTGTGGACGATGAGCATTGATGCAGCCCCTGTGTTGGACAAGAACACAGCACAGCTTATGGATACAGGCCTTGGAGCAGGTCAGAAACAGCACTTGCTGTGACCTGATGGTCTTCAAGGTCTTTGCCAGCCTAAAAGATTCTATGATTGTGTTTGAGTCCCTATTTAGCAGCTGACTGGCAGATGAGCATCCTGAGGAAGCTCAGCCAGCAAGGATCCATTTCTTCTGATAGAAGGTTTGGCCCAGATTTTGGGATAGTCACAGAATAGCAGAGGCTGTGCATGAGAACAGAGTAGGAGGGGAGCACTTCAGCCACCTGAGAAACATGCAGGGGTGGGAGTGGATTGTGTGTTATAAGGGCAAAGTTAGTTGTTTTCCCATGGGAGGGAGGAACAGCGCAGGAACTATGATCCATAGTGATCAGCCTGCTCATCACAGTTGGTTGAACATTCCTGCATGACTGAAACTGTGACCAGGATATTTTGACACCTACTCATAACTTACTCCTTGATGTCAAGGGGAGGTATGTGCACCGAATGAAAGGAATCAAAGAAGAATTTATGTCAAAGATTGTCTGGGAAAATAAAAAGAGCAAGACAATGGACAAAGCACTCTTCCTAAATTTACATGTGCATCTTGAATTATTGCTTTGAATCCAATCTCCAACTACAGAGAAATGGGTGGTCACTTTTCCTTGGAAGTGATTAGTGTCCTGCATAATTCAATGCTGGGCTTTGGCTGTTTGTGCTGCTGTGTACACATGTGTACTCTGGCAATGAGCCATTGTCACTCACCCAGCAGTGAGGGCCACAATATTGATCAGCTCCTCCTTCCCTGTGCACTCTGTCCTGTCAGTGAGACACAGCTCCTGAGGGGAAAATCGATCATGTTAGCAAAATTGGAATTTCAGCATTGTAGAGGAAGGGAGTGAGCTGGGATTTCATTTCAACAATGGACTTTCATTGTTGTGCTTCCCACTTTGCAACATTTAGACTTATCACTTTGTTACTTTTATAATAGTAGTTCTTTTTGTCCAAGAAACCTAGGAGGAAGCCCATTATTTCATGTGCAGCTCTGTTAAATGGAGTGTCCCTTGCTTCTTCAGCACCACAGCCCAGCTAGGACTATGGCCCTTGCTACATTTATTGGGAGCAAGGCTCCTAACATATACAAATAAAGGGAAATATCAGGAAAAAAATTGGGACATACATTGTGTTGTCAGGACATTATCAGAGAAAGTCAAAATTGGCACTCTCTGCCTGATCTCAGAGCCTGTTTATTTCCATATCTGTGGCACAAGCTTGTCCTTTTTTTAGACTGTTCTTTGTTCCTGTGTTGTTTTGGTAGATTAATAACTGATAAACAACTAAATTTTCAGAAGTCTGTCTGCCAAGGTAAGAATGAGATTTAAAAGATGCTTTTCTTCCTGATAGTCCTTCTCCAGATGAACTAATAGGGTAAAGTGAAGGTTTCAGAGTTTGTTGTTAGTTTGTTTTTTTTTTTTATAGAAATATTACAAGATTTGTAGGAAACCCTAGAAAGTTAAGCATAATATATCCTTATTGCCCCTATAATTTAGCTTTCTACAACAGAAATGGTTCCAAAAAAATGAGTTACTTTCAGATTTAGCTAAAAGTCAAGAGCTGATCCTGTTTTTCCATTCCTATATTAATGCATCTTTCATACAATCTGCTTAGTCTCTGCAAATACTTGAAACTATGCTTTGTGCAAATACAGAGATGTCTTTGACTCAGCCCTTGTGCTGTCTGCTGTTGGAAACATCCCATTTATTAAATACAAAAATTAAGCACTGCTAATGCAAAAAGATTGAAATTTATGTAGCTTTTAAGGTTTTTTTTTACTTTGATATTTACTCTTTGTGCACAGAAAAACGTTGCCTGGGAAAACATAAATATAGCTGAAGTTATGTGAGGATGTTGCTGTTTCCCAGTGACAAATTGCAATTTTTTTAAGGTGAAACAGAATAAATCATGTTCAGATGTTATTTACATGAGTCACATATCTGGGTTTGCTTAAAAGTGAGACTAAATATGAGATTTTCAGATGCAAATCCGATACAGTACAATAAACTGCTGTACTTTGTGCTGGTGTGGCTTTACCTCAAGTGCTGTGAGCAGTTTTGGGTGCCTCAATATATGAAGGATAAAAAGCTTTTTAAGAGTGCCCAAAGGAGAGCTATGAGGATAGAGAAGGGCCTTGAGGGGAAGCTCTATGAGGACCCACTCAGGTCTCTTGGTCTGTTTCACCTGGAGGAGTCTGAGGGGAGACCTCATTTTGGTCTTCCACATCCTCATGAGGGTTAGGGGCAGACAGTGATCTCTTCTCTCTGGTGATCTGTGACAGGGCCCAAGGGAATGGCCTGAAGCTGTGTCAGGGGAGGTTTAGATTGGATATTAGGAAAAAAGTTCTTCACTCAGAGGGTGGCTGGGCACTGAACAGGCTCCCCAGGGCAGTGGTCACAGCACAAACCTGACAGAGCTCAAGAAGATTTTGGACAACATTCTCAGAAATGTGGGCTGTTTTTCACAGGGCTGGAGCTGGAACTCAGTGGTCCTCAGTGATCCTTTCCAGCTAAGCATGTTGTGTGATTGTCAGATTTTCCAGTAAAATAGTGACTTTTGTTGATTTCTAAACAGTCTAGATAATGCTTGGTAGTTTTTTATTAGTTTGGTATCCTTCAGTCTTTCTTACTTAACAAAATAAATTTTCCTACTTTTCTTCTCCAACGATAAATTTCTATACTGGAAAAAGCTTGATTTTATTTTTTTTTTTAAGAGATGGTTATATTTAGAAGCCTTATTCTGTCCCTAAATAAGCATACTGGAGTTCAGTTGTGGCTGATAAGTGAGTGTGTTAATTCCTCATCTTGTATATCTTGAATAAACTCTAGAGAGTTGAAAATTATAATTATTTTTCCTTTTTAGGAAACAGACTTTCTAATAGACTTAGGAAACAAATCTTTCTCAGACAAAGAACTGTAAGGAGCAGACTTTCTCCTCCCATAGACTTTAGAGGTTGTGCCTCAGCCCATTGAAGTGAAGAGTTCCTATGGGTTTCTCTCATATACAGCCTCTCAAAATTAAGATATCAAAAAAAAATTCAGCTGCTTCTTGCCACTAAACATGTGTATTTGAAACTTTTTTTTTCAAATTGAGTAGCTCTGATTACACAATAAAAGTGAAGTTAGTCCTTTAGTATGCAATAGTCAAGGAAATACACTCCAAACAGATCCTGGCTATAACAGAGAGTCCTGATGGTACAGTCATTATAAAGTAAATATTTTTCTAGAGCCTATTGGGAATCTTCAGTGTTTTGAAGAGTTTCACAGGCCATGGCAGGATGGCATAGATTCCCATGAACTGTGTGCTGTTTGAAATTTAAATTAGAGCACAGGATTTCAGTGGTGCTAGGTTATCACCGTGAATTCTCTCAGGCAAAAAATCTTCCGTCCTTCACCAGCATATGCATGAAGTGCTCTATTCTTTTCTTGCAGGTTTGATATTCATCACTGTGCTCTGAATAGCCCCGTGTGTTTGTTTTTCAGGCCAGAAGGTGTGCTATGGTGCCTTCAAGCATTCCTGTTACAAACTAGCCTATTTCCAGGACTTGTCTAGACGTGTGGGCTTCCAGGAGGCCCGCCAGGCCTGTGAAATCGATGGCGGGGCTCTGCTGAGCTTGGAGAGTGAAGCTGAGCAGCAGCTGATAGAAAACATGCTGCAGAACCTTACCAAATCGGGCTCTGGGATTTCTGATGGTGATTTCTGGATTGGGCTGTGGAGGAGCGGTGATGGACTGGCCACGTCGAGTGCCTGCCCCGACCTCTACCAGTGGGCCGATGGAAGTATGTCACCATTCAGGTAAGGCTGTGAAACTGCTCCTTGAGAAGGTTCCAAGGAAAGAAATAGTCCCAGAAATGCTAAACCTTGCTTGCCAGCATGAAGTTTGTGGCATCTCCCCCTTGACTTGTCCAGATGAAGGGTAGCTGGCCATCGGGGTTTTGAATTTGAAGCTGTGACAGGATGGCGTTGTGTGTGCGGCCTCAGCCTATGAATTTCTTTGCTCCCACCCCCAGAGTTTGCCTCTGCAGGATGTTTGGAGGTTGTTCTGCCACACACAGAGTCCTTCAGGTGTGGTCTGAAAGCAGGCAGGTAAATTCTGCAGGGCTCTGGCCGCCTCAAATCAGGGAGTCAGCCACCAAATAAATTATTGTGAGATGCTCAGCATAAATTGTTGTGCTTCTACCCTTTTTGAAAAGCCTTTAACTTCCTGATGAAGCCAAAGGCCAGAGTAACAGCAAATCATAGAACTGAAAACAAGGGGACAGATAAGAGTCTTATAGGGAGGAAAGCAGAGCAGTAGGGTGTTATTTCTGCAGAGATGCTTTGATCAGAATTGTTTAATATTCAGAGATATTCTTGGGTCTTTCACAGAAGGGTTGTGGCAAATGCAGGATGCCTTTGAAGAGGATAGGACTGTTTGGGTTGATATTTCTACAGTGATGCAAACTCTTTTCTTTGTCATCCTGAACTTTATCTTCAAAAACTAGAAACTGGTACACAGATGAGCCTTCCTGTGGAAGCGAAGCCTGTGTGGTGATGTATCACCAGCCAACTGCAAACCCTGGTCTGGGGGGGCCATACCTTTATCAGTGGAACGATGACAGATGCAACATGAAGCACAATTTTATCTGCAAATATGCCCCAGGTAGGTAAAACTGAAGTTATATTTCACTGGTGGGACATTGTCTTGTTTGTGAGGGAATCTTCAAGTATCTTTTGGCCTGTGGTACTGATTCCTTTGGTGTGTGCCTGAGCTGGCATTAACGAGGGATATTATATGTCAATAACAACTATTAAAATACATTTTTAGTACATTTAAATAAACCTGTTTATATCTAACAAGCATGATTTCAAAGTTAGCTTCATTATCATGCATTCCCAGGGTTTTTTTGATTTAATTAATTCCCTTACAAAGTGTTTTAAGTGTACATTTTTCTACTTTCTATGGATGACTATGACATCTTGGTCCTACTGTAAAAAATATAGCACTGTCCTCATAGTTGCAACTCTCCCATTTTATACCAACTTACATGTGGTGGTTGTTTAAAAAAGTTATGGTTTGAAGAATGAAGTCCAGAACAGCAGGAAAAATTTCTGCATTCCTGCATGTAGACTTAGAGAGATATGAAAAGCAGATGCATGCTAGTTGAGATGGTGACAGAAAAAACAGATCTTCAGCAATTTGGCTGTACTTTCAGACATGACATAAGTTCTGTATATGTCAATAGAGGAAAAGTGAACTATAAACTAGAACAAGGTGCAAAACCAGAAAGGACATAAAAAGTAAACTTTCCAGTTTGAGCCTGTAAAATTTTCTGTTCCTGGCCATACTTAAAGTGAATGAAAACGTGTTTTTCTGCAGGACCATGCAAATGTTTTCAAATAATTTTTTGTGTGTTTGTTTTTCAAAACTAAGCTAAAAGAATGAATATGAAATTATGGATTTATTTCATTTGTTAATTAATAAAAACTCAAGAAGTGGCCCATGGGAATCTCATGAGGTTTAACAGACCAAGTCCAAGGTGCTGCACCTGGGTCAGGGCAGCCCCAGCACCAATCCAGGCTGGGGATGAGCAGACCCAGAGCAGCCCTGGGAGAAGGCCCTGGGGGTGCTGTGGGTGAGAGGCTGCCATGGCCTGGCCATTGGGAGCCCAGAGCCCCCGTGTGCTGGGCTCACCCAGAGCCCTGTGGGCAGCAGGGCAGGGAGGGGATTCTGCCCCTCTGCCCCCTCTGCTGAGAGCCCACCTGCAGGGCTGCATCCAGCTCTGGGCTCCCAGCACAGCAAGGACAGGCACCTGCTGGAGCCAGCCCAGAGCAGGCACCAAGGGCATCAGAGGGACGGAGCAGCTCTGCTGGGAGGAAAGGCTGAGAGAACTGGGATTGTTCTGACTGGCAAAGAGAAGGTTTTTGGATTATCTAGTTATGGCCTTCCAGAGCCTGAAGGGAGCCCACAGGAAAGATGGAGAGAGACTATTTACAAGGGCCTGAAGCGACAAGATAAGGGGGAATGGCTTCAAACTGAAAGATTAGACAGGCTTAGATTAGACAGTAGGAATATACTCTTTGCTGTGAGCATGGTGAGGCCCTGGCACAGGTTGCCCAGTGAATTTGTAGGTGCCTCATCCTGGAATGTTCAAGGCCAGGCTGGACTGGGCTCTGAGCAACCTGGGGCAGTGGAAGGTGTTCCTGCCCATGGTAGGGGGTTGAAAAAAGCTGTTATTTAAGGTCTTTCCAACCTAAACCATTCTATGATTCTGTGAAATCCCACTCTTAGCAGCTGTTTGAACTATATAATCTGCAGTTTCCTACCTTGTTTCTCTATGCTGATGATCAGAAAATTATCACTCTCTTTGTAGAGATCTATCTGTCCATACAAATCCAGGCTATTTTGTTCCTCTGGTTTTGGTGGATACATATCTTTTTCACTTTTTGTTCACTTAATGAAGATGTTAATTAATATTGCCAGCAAATACTAAATATTTGGCAGAGTTGATATACCAACATGTTTTGGCATACTACCACCCCCAAAACCTGTTCCTGCCTTTGAAATTGTTAGTGGTTATCACTCTTTATGATGATCAGTAATCATCATTGGCCTTTCAAGGAAATGTGACAATTTTATCACTTTTAGAACTGTTAGAATTATTTTGAAATCGCGTAACAAAATAAAAATATTTCATGTTGTTAAAAGCCCAACATTTTTATGTCAGAAATTGCGGGCTTTATTAAAAAGGTTTGGTTTCAGGTCTATTTTGTAGCTTTAAAAGCAAACAAATTTAAATTAAATAATTATTCTCTGCTTGTGAGTGGCTTACCATTCTTGTTGAGATGTGACAAAGAATTGCTTTTTCTATTGCTTTTACCATCTGAGAAAATGCTGGATATTTTGGATTGTCAGAAAACAAGGTGATAATAGAAACAATGAAAATACATTTATATTTCTTTCTCTAGGTAGAAAGTGGGTTATTAGTTTATAATGAGGCATATAAGGCAAACAATGCATAGGTAGGTTATTGTTAGTATTGACATTGTTATGCAGCTAAATGCAGTGCTACTGAATTGTAGCTATTTATTTTCCAAACTGTTGGAGTTGTGCTCTTTAGCAAAACAGAGTATTCTCCAGAAATGTGTTTTTCTGTCATATAGAGGAAAGGAGTAGATGCAAAATGTATATAAATAGATATATGTAATTTCTTTCACTGCCTGAAGAAAGTAACACAATGTTTGTAGGAAAATTACTTTTGTTATTCAAACCAAGTGAGACTTACAAACGACCTTTTTTCCCCCCTTAAATCACTGTAAAGGCTTCAGTGTCAGCTCTTAGCAGTGCAAAATACATCCATTTCACCAGGAGTGCTGAAGTGCCACATGCATATTGAATTTCAGTTTGTTATCCGAGTATGTTGTTTTTCACAACTCTCCTGTCTGTATTCAATATAGGATGCATGACACCAACCACAGGCCAGAACAGGTTGCAGGTGACTTTGATAAAGCTGCATCTAATTGTATCATCAGCAGGTCCAGGACAGTGCTCATTAGACAGCTTGCTCAAGTAGCAGCTACATTTCTGGTGGACACTTTTATTTTTCCAAGCCCTCCCTTGACAGCGTTTATTGCTGCAATGTTCAGTCTGGCTTTGGGTCTTATTGATCATTCAGTGATCTTAAACTTAATTATAGGTTGGTAATTGCGACCTCATTTAGTTCCTGTCCAGCTCCTGTAGGTTTGATTACGCAATCAAATTAAAAACTCATCTCCTCTTCTGCTGTCAAAAGACAGCAGCTCAGTTCTTTGGGGTATCTTGGTGTCTTTGTTTATGTAAGGCCAAATGTAGCTATTTTTTACCAAGTAGGTGAAATAATTGCCTTTATCTAGAAGGCTTTATTGCTGTTTTGATTTCTCCTAGCAGTTTGTATTTATCGAGGCACTCAGAACTGTAGTCTCATAGCACTGTTAAGTTAGTATAACCTTATGATAGAGAGAACTTCATATATTGTTCTAGAATTATCTGCACAAATGAAGCCTTGGATATGTTAGGAAATTTATTCAGCACAGGAAGTTAGGGTTTGACTATTAGCCATTAAATCAGAGGCCACCAAGAATTGAATCTAGACTAAATTATAGCCTTCTAAAGAGCAAAAAGTATGAACTAGAGGTGATCTGACAGTACTTTGCAAAGAGTCTTTGGTAAGAAGATGAAATGCTGAAGAATTAAGCAATTATTGTTTGGGGGAATGTATCTATTTCTGTGATACTGCATGAAAAAAAAATGGAAATATCTGTTTTATTGCACACATTTTTCATTCTTCAACAATCAATTTCAAATATTGATTTAACAGATAATGTCTTAGAAAAAGAATTAGGAGACAGAGCAGAGCCAGAATACGGTAAGAAATTTTGACACATTAAATTCCATTGCACTGGTAAATACATAATTGTAAGGATACCATTCAAGAGCCTCCAAAATTACTCAAGTTTAACAGGCACAGTTAAGAACTGAAAAAACATACGAAAAATTCATTCTTCAGAGAGCAACAGCTACAAATATATGGCTGTTCTTCATCGTAACACTGCTTGTAATTCTTCCAGATATAGTTCCAATTTTGTAATAAAATCCTGTTTACATGTATATTTAATAAATCATAAAAATATTCATTTTACCAATATAAATTAAAATATAATTACTATTAATTTATTAACTACATAATGACCATATTTTTTACTGTTTTCCTAAAATTTCTGATCTCCTTTTCAGATATTTTTCCAACAGTGCCAGCAGGAAATCCTTATGACACAAGCAAACCAGAAGATCAGTATCATATTATTGCTACTGAAACAGGTAATGTGTTCATGTGAATGTAGTGTTCTGCTAAAAATATTAATAGTGGAATTAAATAAATATTTCAGTTTCCATTTTTGTCAAAAGGAAGAAACAGTCTGTTTCCCTGAGAAGTGCCCTGAAAATACATATATTTTAATAACATTTCAAGAGTCTTAGTCCCTTTTAGTTGCTGTGGAAACAAATTATTTCCTTGTCTCACCAAACTTAGAATGGACACTGTGTCCATAGCTGCCCCAAGTACCCTGTGTTTTTGGAAAACCACATGCTAAGAGGAGTTCAGTGCCTTGCTGAGATTCCCAGTAGAGGTGATATTTGGGAAGTGGATAACTGCTGCCCAGGTTCTGCAATGCCCCTGACTGCTTCATTCAGCAATTTATCTTCTTAATGAAATCCTGAGGCTCAGGAAGAGTTGTAGGAACTGAACATGTCTAAGGAGCAGCCCTGAATTTTACAGGATTGCACCATGAAGTTATGGAAAGGGGTGCTTTGTTTGCCCACTGGTTTACTGGTTTTGAGCCAGCTTCCTAACTGGTGTTTCCATTATTTTCAACTCCAGAGGAATTATTATGTTGAGGAACTGTGGTTTGTAATCAATTATTCCTTTTAATACAAACTGTGCGAAGACTCTAAAACTCAAACACAACACGAATATTCACATTTATTCTTGCTAGGGAAAATATTTTCAAAATAGGAAACTAGGTAATAAAAGCTCCACAATTAGTACATTAATTGTGTACTAGTACAAAACATGGGCATGTGGTTACTGGGACACAAGACCCTTCTGGAAGTTGCAGATCCCAACCTCTATTGCAGACAGGTTATAGAGTCTCAGCTTGTGCCATTTCCCACTCCTTTTGTGGAGGCACCTGCAGAGGAGCACCTTTAGCTCTCCCCATTAGTCAAGGAGAGAATTTGTGTGTCTTTTAAGGGGAAAGGGAAGATGAGAGCCAGGCTCATTCTTCCTGTGGTCCTGCATGGGCAGGGAATCCACATATGAAGATGACAGAGTCTACAGTTGAAATGGACTGCAAAAAAAAAAAAAAAAATTAGACAGTGAAATGTACTCCATTAAAACACTTGAATTTTGAATTACAAAATTGGAAAATATGAGAATTGAAGACCTTAAGATACATTTTGCATATAACTCAAGCGCTGCATTATTCTTGATATTGCTGACTTCTCTTTGGAGCTCTTCCTATAGAAGGAATATATGTGTTCTTTTGTGTAAGTTAATGTATTCCTGTAATTTTACGCCAGATTTTTCCTGACATGGTTAAAAGCATTTCAACACGGGAGACATTAATGAGAATTTTTGTCTTGTAGGTATAATTCCGAATTTAATTTATGTTGTAATACCCACTATACCACTGCTGCTGTTGATACTGGTGGCTTTTGGGACTTGCTGTTTCCAGATGCTTCATAAAAGGTAAAATATACTCATCCATAGTGGTTTTATGATGCAGAATTCATATTTCCATTGGCAAGCTATTCCTACTGAAAGACTGCTTGCATCTATCCCCAAATATGCAAATAAGTGCCTTTTCATCTATTAAAATGCAAGTAGTTTACAGCTGTTGCAGCTGAACATTCACCTTCAGGCTTTTTCCACAACACGCTGAGATAATTCTAGGTCTCAAAGGATGCTGCTGCTGGGACTCCACCTGTTCCTGAAGAAAGTCTCTTTGCAGACCATTGATAGTCAGGGCAGTTGTCAGCACTTTTATTTCACCTCTTTTTATGGTGATTACCACCTCTAAAGTACCTGGACTGTGGGAAATAGTAGAGGGGTCCTTCACAGATGAGCCCAAGGACTCAATTTCTAACCCAAAGTAAAAATTTGTTCCAAGGACAAGCCTAAGGGCCAGCAGCTGCTTAATCCTGTTCCACTACACATACCATACAAGCAACATATGGACCACTGGAGTGCAGAAATTGAAAATGAAAAGCAAAAGCTTGCTCTGAGCCACACACTAGTGTGATATCCTTTGTACATCATGTATGTGCTTAAGAGGATGCATAAAATAAATAGATATGTATTTGTAGCAAGAGGTACTATTATGCAAAAAAGAAACGTTTCAGCCTTTGAAATACAGTATAATTTGCTTCAGGCTTTAAAATTCTTTGGACTTTTCATTTTTGTCAAAATATGATATAGATACGTAACGACATGACAGCATATAATTAATATTTTTTTCTGAACAGAATGTTTCTGAAACTTTGAAATATCATTTAGCCTTTAGTTCAGAAAGTCTTTTCAGCTTCATGTAATCCAGAAGAGTTTAAATTGAAATATGTTTTGTAGATAAATGCTGTTTACCTAAAATATCAAGAGCAATGAGAAGATTTGTAAGCTGTTTTCCCTCTTGAAGACCAGGAATAACTAAAAGGAATATGATATCACTGTTTTAAGAAATTAAAAAAAAAATCCTTGTTTTTAGCTCTTTATTTTTTCCTTATGGTTTTTACTTAGTATTTCCTGCCAATAGCTGCAGTAACTTATTTCAGGTGAGAAAACACTCCAAATGTGAAGGCTGTTTCTGTCTGTGTGAGTGAATGTACAGTGGTATTAGCAGTACTCCTTGGTACCATGCCTCATTGAAACAAGTAGCCATAAACAGCAGAATATTATGAGGTCTGCATAAAAACCTTGATTTTTAAAAAATGCATTTTCTATAAAGAAAAGGAAAAGGTACACTTTCCAACCTGTCTTATGACAGGCAAATAAACATTTCACAAAGCCTGTGAAAGGTTATATAGAAACCTCACCACTGGTTGGAGGCTCAAAGCAGAAAAGAGTAGTAAAACAATAATATGTATAACACTAAGAATTGCATAGTAATTGTATTCTGGAACCCTGTAACCAGTGGCCCTGGATTTCCTGGTAAGTATTGTACATCTAAGTAGCTTTTCTGGCAAGTCCTTCATTTCTGAGAAAAGTTTCAGCCCTTGAACGCTCCTGGGAAAGCAGTGAGAGATTCATGGCCCACTGAAATCAATAGAAAAAGTAGTGTTGACTTCAGTGGGCTTTGATCAGGCCTTTGATGCTATAGCACTTCATCCAGAAGTAATTCATCTGAACTTCCAATACTTCAAAATTGCATGACACAGATATTGGAAATTCACCTTGGAAGGTTTCCTTTTTATTTTTTTTTTTTTCTGTCAGCTGATTAGTTTGATAGATGAAATGATACAAAAATCAAGGAAAAATGGTTTTGATGCAACACAGGGTTCTCTTTTTTGTTGATTGTTTGTTTGTTTTTGTTCCCAGAATGTCTATTTTGAGTTACATCAAAACCTTTAAATAAAGAAATTAAACCATTTAAAAAAAACATTTAGATCAAAAAAAACTATCACCAGAAATGAAGTATTTTATCTTTTGACACAAAACTGTTTTTTAAAAAATATTTTCCTATCTATTTTCGATTTCCACCTACGACCTCCCTTGCAAACCATTTTAGTTCACCACAAATATGAAGGTCTTGGGCAAAAACCAAATCAAAAAAAGAAACAATCACTTGAACTTATCATCTGGACACTGTAGAACTTTAGGAAAGAGATTCTGTCCTGCTGGGGAAGGAGGGACCCCCACCTTTCCACATGAACCTGACTTCTCATTCTTTTTTAGGCTTCCACAACATGGTGACCTTTCCTCTGAAAGCCACAACCCATGGCCAACCAGGACATGCCTAGCTTGAAAGGTCATGACTAATTTTGCCTGTCATTGGGCTCTTGAAGGGTAGTAATGAGGCAGAGCAGCACCTCGTCCCTGTAGCTGGCAGAAATGATCAGCTCATTCATGCTTAGATGCTCTCCCTTTCATTTCTTCCAGGGAAGCAAGGAGAAACTGCTTCAAAGACCCATCTCCATTATCATCTGAATGCCTTGCAGAAAGTTTAAATTCCAACCTGGTATATTTCTCAGTTTCTATGATTGCCTTTGATGGTCAAAACACCAATATGCTCAAGCTATTTATTGCATCTTACCTTTGTCACTAAAATCTGTTTCCTGAACCAGCTGTGAAAATCAGCGTAGGTTTATTGAAGATAAGCTCATTTGACACATTTGATCCAAGGTATTTAGAAATTGCTCCTGCTGTCTGGCAAGAACTCTCCATTCAAAGCCTTTCATCATTAACTTGTGCCTGCTTTTGCTGGATTAATCCAGAGGGAAGTAGTGACTTCGTTTCTTTAAGAAGGAAGCGCTGGAACTACTCGATTCATTGCAATTGCTTTGTTTATAGCATTGTGGCCTGATCTAAAGTCCACTGAAGCCAAAGGGAGTCTTTCCAGTTACTCCAATGGGCTCAGGTACATAATGCATTACTTTGTAGGACTTCAGAGGTAAGTCTGGAGGGACTGAAAACTACTGTAGCATTCAGCACCCTCGAAGTGCGTTTTAAATCAACTCAGACTCGCTCACAGTTACACACCAGGAAAGGAATAAAACTGAATTTGTAGGACTGTTGGGACTCTTAGGTTTCCACCTTATAGGGTTATGTCGTGCTACTTCTCCTCTTCTGGTTATTTAATTGGGGAAAAAAATAAAACCAAAAAATCACCAGTGTGCAATATTCTACCCAGAGATTGAAGCATTTTCACTGAAATGCAGCTCCAATGGCTCCTGAAGTGGCTCCTCTTTCAGTAGTCTGCATTGCACTGTCATCTCTCAATCTAAGTGAGGGAGGATGGTGTATTGTGGCATTTGTAGCCATGTGGAAAGACTGCCATAAACTTTCAGGGTGCCAGGACTCCATGGAAAAATCAGGGCAAACAAATTAGCAGCAAATTTCAGAGCAAGAACTTTTTGGAACCAGTTTTATCTTTTTTTCCTTTTTTTAATTGAAAAACACCAAACACAAACCTTGCTATTGACAGTTTTGACTGAAAACCAGCCCTCAGGAAGCTTTCTACCAGTCATTCATTGCCAGGAGTCTGATCCATGTGCCATCACTTCATGAAGTGTCAGGTCCAGCCCCAAGGGGAAGGGGCTTGCTGGTGCAGGGGTGTGCAGTGACCCCATTGCTGTACCCAGGGTGGGCAGGGGTCTGGTACCCACTGGGGTGGGTGGGCTGCACCTTGGGCATGGATTTAGGGGGTTTGTGTGCTCTGCTTACCCCCAGACAAGGGAAGTGCTCAGCTCTCACCAGCCCTGGTGAAACAGAGTCCTTCTCTGAAAAGACTACTCTGCATGAGAGGTGTGGTTGGATGGGAATTGGGAAAAAAGAAATAAAAACCATCCAGGCCAATTCAGTGCAGTTCCTGGGACCAGCACTGCTAAGCAGAGTGGTCTGGTATTTTTGGTAATGGATGGGGAGCCCACACTGTGAGAGCACCAAATGTGGCCCTGAGATCCAGGGATGGGATGCTCAGGTCTGATCACAGAGCTGAATCAGGACTGCAAAGGCACACATGGACTGAAAATGGTTTGTATTTTTATTTTTCAGTAAAGGAAGAACAAAAACCAGTCCAAACCAATCCACACTATGGATTTCAAAGACACCCAGGAAGGACAGTAGCATGGAGGTATAATGATTTACTGACTGAAAATGAGGCAAAAATAACATTTTGCAGTGAGGCTGTATTATAATGTCGTCAAAGAACATTAGCTTGGAATGGCTTGAAAATGCAAAGGATCTACAAGAATGAACTGTAAGCTCCCCCTTGAGGCAAATGTTCAGATCATTTTTATATGATGTTTGTTTATTAATTCAGTAACAAAATATGCCATGCTAAATAAAGGGTATGTGTTTATTTTGCTAAGAGATGTAAGTTAGCTAGTTGTGAGCAATGAAATGAACAGAGCATTTGAAGTTTTTATGGGGAAATATCCACAGTGTATGTCAGTTTTAAGACTGTTTGTAGTTAAACAAACCTCCTCTGGTTCTTTTAGTCTCTCATGCATTGTATTGTATAGTCAATGTACAGTAAATGGAACTGACAATTTTACAGTGTAACAATTATTTATCTTTGCATAAAAGTTTGATACAAAATATTTGTTTAGTATTTATTTGCGCACTTAACACAGTTTTTGAACTTTGGGAACAAATACTATTTTATGAAATAATGACATGGTTGCTGACAGAAACAGCCACCATATTGTGACATCAACCTGATGTGGCAAAATTCAAGGATTCATCAAAGCCCTTTGCTGTCATAGAATTAATTCATTTTGCCAGGGAATGACTATAGCCTTTTTTCATACTGGCTCAAGGTCAACATAAAACTTGGAAAGTGGTACCTCATTAATGGTGTGCCCTTTAAAGGCAGCTATTAGTTGTTACTTCAGTCAAATATTTTTCTGATGGAAAAAAAATCACATTGGGCAAGAGTTTAAGATTAAAATTACTGTTTCAGTAAGTCTACATAAAAAAGGCATTAAAGGTCATTTAAATATAGCTAATAGTTTGTTAGGAATAATATAATGTTGGAGAAAGAGAAGAAAAAGCCTTTTTCTTGGAAGTAGCACTCATAGATTGATTCCTACATTACTCAGACTATTATCTAGAAACACATTAATTATATTAATTGATGGATAGATTTAGAGGTAACTGTGGTACATTTAAAGCTGGCTTTTAGAGTTATGATTAACATCATTAATGTCCATTCTCTTTGGTAGCTTAAGAGCTTTCTGCGCCTTAGGAATGGTTGTGCTGGTCATTAGAGCAGCTGGGGTGGTGGCAGTAGCACTCTGGTTGATTTGTTGGTGGCAATCTGGTGTCAGAGCAAAAGTTCAGGTATTTTACTGTCATTGTAGCAGGAGGTCAAGAGCTTGAGTTCAACCTTGCTGGCTTTAACACAGATTGATAACCACCACTGGCTGGGGAGAGCCTGACCAAAGCAGAGCTGAGGGGTTGCCTGCACTGTGCTGGCTGATGTTCACCACATCACTTCAGACACAAATCTGTCTCAATTTTCTGAGTTCAGAAAAAATATTTGAAAGTTTCCATTAATACTAATTGTGGAATTAGCTGCTGAAGCACTTTTGGAAGTATCTTAAAGCTGCTGTTATGCAGTGGTTCTGCTTCCTTTTCAAAGAAAACTCTTCCTGTAGTTCAGGTTAAGTATTGTTATTCCTACGTAAAATATTCTATAGTTCTTCCAGTCAGTAGGAACTTCTTTGTTCAATCCCCTACTTCAGTTTCCTTTGCAGTGAGAAAATATTATGACCTTACACAATCACCAAGACCAGAATTGTTTTCCTACTGATGTAAATATTGATGAACTCAACTGAGGGGAGGAGAGACCTCTTTCTTGAGAAGAGTTGTGGTAAAAAGAACTTAGTTCATTTTTATGGTCTTGAAGGATTTAACTCCCTTTAACTTAGGGATTAACTATTTCTTCATACTTCCAAAGGACATGTAAAGTTGTCACTATCAATATCATGGTTAATGGCAGCAGAAGTGATTTTGAAGCAGCAGTTAGGAAAGTGCAAATACCTTCAGGAGTGCTTTTTACAGAGTGAAAGTGATGGATAGGCAGGCATTGGCACAGACCTGTCTCAAACTCTGAGTGAAGGCAGATGGGGAAGTGGGATCCAGTGCTTCTGTTGTAGTGTGCTCAGATTTTACGTAGAAATAAGAAATATTAGCTATTGGGGCAAAATATTTCCATATCTATCACCATATCCATCCTCTGTTTCAAAGCATTTTGGAACTGACTCAACTGCAAATAATCTGTTCTGCTCAAGTGTTTTAACATATTATTGACTGGTTTCTTCACAGGTTAATTTGCAGGCAACTGAAGCCATGGATGTTGACCAAAGGCTAGAATGTGATTGACTAAGGTTATGTCAGTTTTATCTAAACATAATTGGGTGAAATAAAATGGTTTTTAAAATTAAAATAGTTTATGTGATATATCTTTTTATGCCAAGGTTTATATGGTATAAATATATAACATACTATATAATATATTATAAATATATATTATATATTTATGTATACTTATACAGTTATATCCTGCATAAGTACACAACTTTTTCAGTCTGATGAGTTGTTTTATCAATGTATATCTCAAAATATGCGTTGCATTTTGGAAAGCAAGAAAATGCACCCAGATAAAAGTATCTTACTGTATTCCTGGGAAGCATATTTTCTAGTGGCTGGATCTGCTTTCATTTGGTTTTTGTATTTCATTAATAGACTGAAACACAATGTACAATAGTGATCTATGGTAAATAATGCAAAAATCAGGTCATATTGTCCTTAAGCATTTTAATGTAATTGCTTAATCCAAATCAATTTATACTGGTAGCAAAATGCTCTACTTTTTAGAGTAATAGGAGAAAAAATAGTTCACTAAGAAAGATAAAATTTGCAACTCTAATATTTTAATGTTGAAAAACTGTGTCTTTCATATGAGAGACTGTGTCTAAAACACCTTCTTACCCTCTCTCTGTCATAATTATATTTATCTGTGTTATTTGTGATCACAGATGTCTTTGATAAAACTACAGATTTTGGTCTGGACCTAATTCTCTAATTACAAAGTCCTGAAAGCAGTTTGGGACTTATTTTTTTAATCAGTGACTGCCAACCTCTGTTTGCAAGCACTCCATACCTTCATTTAGGGTTGTAAGAACCAAATCCAGTAAGTGAGAATGCATTTGTCATTTGGGTATGGAATGATAAATACATAAAGGTCCTACACTGGTGTGAAAACAGAAATAAAGAAGTGCATCATATTACACTAATGCCATAGAATTTAAGGCATTTGAACAAGTAAGCAATTATTTTTTAATAGAAACCTATTTATAAAAGAACTCAAGAAGATAAACCCCTTATTTTAGTTTTCCTATTCTTTCCTCTTTAGAATGCTGTAATGGGATACCCTGCTGGTTTTTTTACAAAACCCAAAATATATATTAAAAATCGCCAGTACAGAAAAAGCTTGTAATATGGAAACACTATTATTCTTGAGGGAGAACTGGTACTCATTATTGTCAAATGTTTTTAGAAACATCACTTTTTATGAGAAGAAGTTGTGGTACTGTGAGTCTGTGCTTGGGTGTGGAAAAGCACATCTCTATAATTGTTTGAATAATTGCCAAACACTTGCCTAGAAAGAAAACTAAAAAGCTTTATTCAATCCTTTTTTAACTCTATTAATTCCAAGCACATTACACAAGAGAGAACATTTGGCTGACATTCAGTTTGTTCATTAGAAAGCAGCATGATCCATGGTCAGCCTTTCTGCACAATCCATAAACCTCACTCCAGAGCCTTTTGTAAGAGGCAAGGCAGAGGAACTCCCAATGAGCCAGTTTGAAGAGAGGACATGCACCTTCATTTTGATGTGCAGAGAGATTGCTGGGAAGAGTTGACTCTGCATTAATGTGAAATTGCACATTGAAAAACACAATGTAAAAACATAAACTAGATAATATTTCACTTGATATTGACAATTTGGATTCTTTTCCACTGCAGAATTTACAGTTTGCAAACATTTTTTTACTGCACGTGCTTTGTAAGGCCCTCCACTGTGCAGTTAGTGCGCTGATGTTCAAAGAATTTGTTTTCCTAAAATCCTATATAAAATAAGAATTAAAATGACAAAACTATTTATTAACAAAACCACAGCATCTCTTTTGAAATATTGTGCTCCCTTGGAAATGGTTCTTATTAACAAACAGAAGTTACCAATGTTTTCCTCACCAAGATTTACGTGTTTATTTAGTTTCTCTGTGAGATTGAAATGGCAGCCTAGTTTACATCATTATGCAATGTCTTGCTTTCAACATCTGAACTCCATTGCTATAATTAAAAAATATCAAGCTAATAGATGATGGTTTTGATCCAGTCCACAAACATGGTGACTCGAGCGTACACTCCTGGTCTCTGGGGAAGGGCACACCCTTCTCCAAATGATGTCACACCAACCAAAAACCACTTGTCCCCATCTTCAAATGTCAGAGGGCCACCTGAATCCCCCTGCAATGACAAATTCAACAGTTAAAAGTGAGCAGTGTCAACTTTCAGGCAGAGCCTGTTTATGATGTCTGTTCATTTTGTTCCTTAATCATAGATGCTCCACCCCTGTATGTCTTTAGCACCAGAAAGATCAATATGAATATTTCCATGTGAAAAAATAGTTGAAATTATCCATTTTTTTTTCTTTATTTTTTTAAATTATGTGAGCTTAAGCTGTCATTAGTCTTCCAATTCAGGACTGGACTTCAAGAGATTTTTTTTTAATCTTATTCCTTTTAGGTTCAGCCCTTCATATTTCACAAAGTCCAAGTGAATGTGGAGGATTTTTTTCAATTGAATATATTCAGCCAAAACACAGTTCTATTTTCAGTCACCCCAGAGTTTCCACAGTTTCAGATTTAGAGAACAAAATAACAAGATTGCCAGAAGAGGTGTTCTTTTCTCTCACCTCCTTTTCAATAGTTTAGCAGACATAGCATTGTAATAGAGACTGAATTTGATTTAGCTTGAGCGGGGATGAGTCAGCCGTGGGTGTCTTGTTTTGATGAGAAAGAAAACAATTACTATTTTTCATTGTCTATCAAGTTAGTTGAACCAGTATTAATTGTGTCTTCTCCAGGCCCTGTGAATGGATCTTTACCAGAGAATTCTGCAAGGACCCGGCCATTAAAATGCTTCTGCCCATAACCCTGAGGCATCCCAGAATGTTAAAGGCTGTGACAGCAGCCTAAAGGGGGATGTGCTATCAGGAATCACTTGTTTATCTTTGCTCATGGCTGACTGGTCATTGATCACAGTGCTGGTCACTTGTACTCTCTATCAGCCTGTGATCCTACATGGAATTGTTGTTGTGTTTTGGATTTCTTTTTGTTGTTGTTGTTTTGTTTTGGTTTTGTTCAGTATAAGGTTCAGAAAGAAAAAGAGAAAGAGGAAAACCATGAGGGGAAAGGACATTAGTCTTGAATAGAATCCTTGTTCTAGACTGAACTGGGCAAAGTCAGGGCAGGTGGTGAAGGCTTAGGTTGGTAGGGCAAGGCAGTTGGAATTATGTGAAAATGCTCCTCATCAGCCTTGAGGGAGGGCAGCCAGTCTCCATGCCACAGACTCCATACTGCTGGAATAAAAATCACGTGGCAGCCACCTCTGAGGACATTCTCAAAGAGAAGCAGGGAGTTAAAAAGAGCTGGAATGGATAAAAACAAAACCCACATGAACATATATCAGTGCAGAAAGGCAACCTCTCTGAAATTCTCTGGTGTCTGCTTGGGAAAGGTCTCCAGAGTCTACAGATTCTGGGGAAAAGCAGCTTTGCTTTCTCTCTTTCCCATAATGAAGGATTTCTGAGACTTCAGTCTATTTTTTATTTATTTTTCTGTTCTCTGCATTTCTGTAAGCGTGTGCCTCTCACCTTCATGGAATTACTCAGCAGGAATTATTCAAAGCCTAGTGCAAAAAATTCCCAGTCCTCATATTTATCTCCCTCCATGATTGTTTATGCCAAGACGACACACACACACAAATAATTTTAATTGTATCGTGATAAATTATTAAATGGGCAAAGTACCATGAGTAGAAGTTACATTAATGGACAGGGATTGTTCTGTTTTTCATAAGTGGAGGATCAGGGAGAGTTTTATTCAGTAACTAGATGAGGTTTATGACAGCAGTGAAAATGAGTTGCTTCTACTTACCTGGCAGGAATCTATTCCTCCCATGTCGTATCCTGCACAGAGCATATTCTCAGTAATATTATATTTTGGCATCCATTGCTGGCATTTTTCATTAGAAAGGAGAGGGACCTCTGCTTCTTGCAGTATGTTGGAAGAGGGACCTGATGAGAATACAAAGTACATTTACCTGCAGCATTAAATACGTGCATCCCACTGGGAACGCTGATGGTTTTGTTCCTGTTCCAGCATGCTCAGCACACTCCTGAGCAGCAGGAATCCCTGCCTTACTGCTGTACTACTCAGGCTTATGCCCCTGTAACACAGTCTCTGATTAAACAGGGCTCATTAACTGAATCCTGTCTTTCATTTTTGTAATGGGACTGAATTTGGTTATAATTGAATCAAGATTACTAAAATCAATGACTATGAACTCACTGTGGGGAGATCTAAGGGATGATTAAAGACTTAGGAATATGGGTTGTCTAGTGTTTCCTCACTATTCATTGAGTAATTTTGGTTATTTAAAGCTATTTTTAAATTATTTTAATAATTCCTACCCAAAATTTTAAATGCAATTTAACGTAGAAGTCAATGTATTCAACTGTGGAAGAGAAATGTCATGTTCATTATTTCAGAGAGACTCCAAATCTGGAGCACATGACATACAAACAGAACATACATTTCACACTGCAGTCAGCTTTCTTGACTTCTGGGGAAAATCATTTTCACATTGTCACAAAGACTAATCTTCCTCTTCCCCCACCCAATATCTGGAACTCAGATGTACATATTTCATGTTGAGAAAAGCAGTCATCATAACTTCTAAGTGGATGTAAGAAGCTTTCTTCATAGCCTAATGAACTTAGATACGCATGGTTTTTTTCCTAAGAGATATAAGTATAATTTTGCTTCAGAGAAGGAATAGTGGAATGGGATATTTCTTAAATTTTCATGTGGAAGAGTAGCTCTCTAAACTATTTGACCTTAGCAACTCCTGTGGGATAGGAACAAGCCTGCCCTCACAGCTACATGCCTGTCAGAATTTTTGCAAGCAGATGACCCACCATCATTGCGAATAGCCCCCCAGCCAGCAATGGAGCAGTTAATTCCTGGTGGAAACTGTTGATTCTTTTCTGGTAGGCAGACAGGTTGGATGTAATCTGTGAATGAGAAACAAGTAATCAATTTCAACCTCTTCCCTGTATTCAGGTTTTATGAAGTCATACTAGAAAATATTCATTCATTCAAACCCACTTTTTGCCAAGATATCCAGGAATTACTGAGCAGACTCCCCGCCACCCTCATATGCTCAGCATAATAGAATAAATGGGTCTTTTGGGAAAACCAAAACTCACCTGTATACTGCACTTTGTGTTGAAGGTGCATCAGAGCAATATCACTGTCTTTTGTTTGCTTCATGTAATGAGGATTTATAATTATTCTGTCAATGTTTTGAACCACTGCTGGAGGCTTTGCCAGGTCTGACTGGCTGTACAAGCCAAGAGCTGCTTGCCAGCGGGATGGCTTCAGCTGTCTCCTGGAAATATCAAAGAGAGTATTCACAATTAGGAATGATTAATGGAAGTCTTAAAAAATGTGTATCAGATAAAATGCTGATATCTAGTCTTGTGGTAATCTGTAGCATTTGCATGTTTTGTCAAATAAAACATAGAAAATAGAACAGGGTAGATGTGCTTAGAATTCCATGAGCATACTGTCTTAAACATCCATACTGCAGATATGCGTTGCTGATTTTTTTATGGTGAGCTTTTTATAATGCATTATTTATAATTAATTAATCAGATGGTGGTGCAGAGGAGGGAAATACATTAACTAAATTACCATGGCTTTTTAAACACTATGAAGAATACTGCTGACTGCTGGCAATTAATATTGGTCCTAGTTAGAAAATTGTAATGGAATGTCTAAGGGATAAGAGGTCTGAGATGTTGGAAATGCTGCAGCTCACAGACTCAGAAAACTAGTCCCTCAGGTTTAATCTCAGTCAAACAAGCTAAAACAAAATATGACATAATCTGCATTTTTTTTCCTAATCTACACATGCTGGTTTGAGGCTGTGTTCATCAGAGAACTTAAATATTTTCTGGTTTTTAATCAATCACCTTATGATTTTAAAAGTACATTTTCAGCCTGATTGTTGGACTGAATTGGTTTCTGCTCATCTTTTGGTTTGACATCAAGAAGTTCTTTTGTTCTAAACTAGGAGTGTCCGAGTTAAATGTTCAGAACATGTGAAACCACAAGCTTCAATTTAGGAAAATTCTAGCAAAGGCAAAATTAGATTTAGTTGAAAAGAGAAAGGTGATTCACATGAAAAGGAAGTATCAAGACAATTGTAGATTTATTGTGAGGAAACTAAGGAGCTTAATCCTTATCATTTTAGTGTCTTTGTGTGGATTGTAGTGCTCATCATGCCATGAGGCAGTGTTGGGATTTTGGCAGTTTCCACTGCCTTACCATTTAGCTATTTGTAGTGAAAGCTCTATTCTAATTTTGCTTTTAGGGTTTTTTTGGTTGTTTTTTTTTTTGCCATTCCAGTTTCTATATGTCTTTTAAAACATCTAGTTTTATTGTAGATATTATGAAATATCCTAGAAAATATTTCAATATGCATCACTTCTTGGAATGATACAAATTACACCATAGAGAAGATATCTACTATTGCCTAATCAATGCACGTAAATCAAGAGTCATTCCAGTGATGCACAGTAAATCTTGATCAATCCAGGATAATATGTAGGAGGAATGCTGTGTTTAATTTATGGGATATGATGTCAACTTTTATACCACTGGTAGAGGAATTCACCCAATTTATGGAGACCCACAATAATTATGGATTAAGAACCAATGCTCAGTATTAATACCATGCATTTAAAGTGCAATTCCTTATTGTTCAGGAAATGCTGCTTTGTTTCCACAATTGTCTGCATTAAAGTAAGGACTGAGGATTTACCTGGGAGCTTTCAGCTGAGACTACAAGTGATTCAAAACATGGTAATTAAACCAGGAGTTTGTTAATTTTTCATATCACCATCGCAATTTGTTCATAATCTGACGCCTCCTCAGTGAACTTGCACATGAAATAACTTTACCCATAGACACAGTGTGCTGCTGTCACCAGCCACTCGTCACTGACAAGGGAAGCTCCACAAACGGGTTGGAAATTAAAATGGAGTGAAACTATCCAGGGCCAAGCCTCTCTTCCTGCATCATTTCCACCTACAATTCTTGTTCCATTATTCTGAGTTATCAGGTTTTTTCCACAAGCTAAGAGAAAGCAAAATAAAATAAAATAAAATAAAATAAAATAAAATAAAATAAAATAAAATAAAATAAAATAAAAAACTAAAGGGATGTTGCATATTTTATTAGACTAGTCCATTTTCTTGGAAAGAACAAGGCTTTGTAGAATTTTGTGGGATAGAATTTATCCCACAAAAATACTGTGGGAAAAAGTTTGGGTTTTTATAGCTGAAATCAAGATGCAACTGTCTAAGTTGGATATAGATGTTTTCTTTCCTCAGATCTTCTGGAATTTTTATACATTTATTTTATAAATGTTTTCACTACAGATCCAGCTCTAGCATACACTTAACACTGAAATCAAGTGAAGACTAAATTTTCCTTTGTTTATATCATTATGAGTATAGCATTTATAGTCCATTCCCTAACCTTTCCATTCAAGCCATAAACATTTGGCTTTATGATCTGAACAATTTGATCTCTCTGTGAAACATTCCTGGATTCTGTGTGCTTACATTGAATATCATTGTACTTACATTGAATGTTACATTGCAGATGAACCACCAGGTTGTCCCGACAGTGTTCTCTAGAATAAAAGTGCAATTAAATCACAAGTGTCTGCACAGCAGATAACTCTGACTGTCAAATATATACATAAATATACACAGAGAGAAATGTATACAATCATATATATGAAAGCACATTCATTTAGCAGTATCAGTCTGTTAAGTATATGTTTAAATTATGTTTTAATTATAAGTATACAACTGTATATGTTCTACAACTTTAAATGTATATATTCCTTTTCAGTGGGCACTTAATTAATTTACATTATGGAAATAAAAGTATACTCTTGTGTTTTAGGGAAATGGATCATCTGCCTGAGACTTGCAATAAAGTTGTAGCTGCCTATGGTATTTTTCCTACCTTTTGAGATGTTTTCAACACCTTACCACTAGAGATCAGTGTGGCCAAAGAATTTAAGAGGTTAGTTTTATATCCCTGCATCATTTTACTAAGAAAATAATGCTACTGTAAAATACACAGTTGCATATGTTAGGCTAGAAATTATTTAGCAAATATATAAAGCCAGAGTCTGAAGAGCACAAGACCATAGATCAAAACTGCTCAAGCATTTCTGATACCCAGAGGTTTTAATATTATGTTCATAGTCTGTAATGAATCTGAAACACTTGGGACAGTGTGCGTGCTAGCAATTCAAATCTGATACAGAAATGAGAATGAGGGGAAGATAGAAAACCAAGCTCTGCCAACAGTTTGTTTCCAGTGAGCATTTCCGCATTCCATTTGTAAATAGAGTAGGTGAAGAATACTTTAAACATGATAGGGAATGATGTATCCTTCACTGTGTTTGCTCTAAAATTTGGTATCTGCTGTGAGTGAGATGTGACCCAGTAATTTCCCAATGGCACAGAGGGACATGAAATAAAGTGGGAACTGCAACCACCCACCACCTCCCCAGTTAAACTTTCACTATGGTGGGGTTCAGATGAGATATTCTTCTGGCCCTGAATAGTCCCACATTGCCATTTTCCACTTCAAGGTAGGTACCTAATTTTAAAGCTGTAATTTAAAAAGTGGAAACCATTTTCTGTGACATGTATCCAAATCCGTAACCAGACAAATATTAAGAAACCAAAAATGCAAGAAACCAAAATCACCTTTGCATAAACTTCAACTAAATACCCTTTTCCATGATGCCTTCATAGGCTTTCAATGCAGGGGTCAGTGGTGCTGTATATTAGGTCTCTTATCTAATCCTATGCTTTCTCATAGGTAGATGCATAAACTACCTGAACTAACAATCAAGTGTCATAAATAATTTTACATTTTTCGTGTAAAGGGAGTTGCCTGTCCCACCACAAGTACCCACTGGTTGGGTGCTTCAGCAGAAATTACTTCATTTGCCTCTGCTTTTTCCTCTTTGTGGAGCTAGCTCCCAGCAGGAGAAGCACATTCCTGCCTGCACTTCAGCCCAACAATTCTCAGCTGCCTCTTGGTCTGCACAGGAGTGGCCAAAAGGCACCAGAGGCATGTGCTGAGCACCCTCCTCTGTGCCTCCCTGAGTGTCAGCTGTCAAGCAGCACGCCAGGCAGAAATCTGGAGTAGTTAGGGCATCTGTGAGCATGATCTTCACTTAGAACTGGCAAAAACAATTAGTCCCTGTGGAATCTGCTCACATGTATCAAAAAGGCAGGATCTGGGGCTCTTACAAAAAAATCCTGCCAAAAATCACATTACCTAAGGGCACCAGAGAATTCTTTTGCTTTCTCTGTCACTGCAGATTTCAAGCCCTATTACATGTGCCCTCCTTTGTTTCAATGGTGGATGCACTTGAATAAAAAAACAATTTAAAAAATACACTTGATAATTGGATTACCAGTTAATGAATTCAGTTGCTTAAATTATCAAATCTGTGTGATCTTTTTAACACTCATTATATGTAGAAAAACCATGTGTGAATCTGCAATAGTGTCACCCTGCAAAATGATTCCTATCAGCCGTCCAGATGAAACATGGGAGAAGATACCTATTTCTGCCACAGAAATACAACTAAGATAAATGAATTTATTCCATTTCCTCCTGCTTGAATCACTTTTAGTGTTTTACAGTTATTAACAGAAGACATCTTTAAATCATTACTGCTCTTCAAGACGTCTTGTGGCAATGCTGGTTTAGACATTCACTCAAGAAAAAAAGAAAAATAGCCTCCAATGATATTCCATTAGTTTAAGATACTTTTAGCACTCATAAAAATGATAAATGTTTGGGGTTAACAGAGTATAATTAGAATATAAAATGTAACTTTTATTTTTTTTTCACATAGACAAAATAATAGACCACAGAAAATTAAGACATGTCTCTTGCTTTGTCACTATGTGTTGTGTTTATTAAGGGAAACTGAAAGAACGTGGATTCTTGCTGTCCTCAACATGGCTTCAGCATTTTAGCAATTAGACAGTAATTTTCTGGCTCAGTGTTCCGGTAGAAATCCAGAAAAAAATTATACAGTAAAGCCTCTTATAAACAGAAAACAGTAATTGAAGTCATTACAATTCTTTAAACTGATGATGGCAAGCCTTTCTGCTTGGGAGTTGTGTTGTAAATCCCACCATTTCCTGAGGAGGTAATCCTGGGCTAATATCACATTTTCATTAAATCCACAAGAAATTACCAGTTTCTAGTACCCTTCAGAATCCCTTCAGCAGTTATTTGGACTGAGAAAGGTTAGAATAGAATCAAATGTATTCTGAGGATCATGTCATCTTATGATTCACTTGTAAAGGTGGAGACAATTCCAGAAGTCATTTTTGAGTGGGTATAGTTTGTTTAAATATAGATTCCTGTCTGTGAATGGCTTTAAATTGGCAATTCTCAGTGTGTCCAAAGTCTGTATCAATAAGGTTAAAGAGTTATAGAGTGTGACTCATCATATTTCAACAGATGCCTTGATGGATCACATTTTGGAGTGTCTATTTTTCTCTGCTGATTAGAGAGAGAACCAGCTTTGACAACTACTCTGTAACTATGGGTGATTCTCACTCCATCCTAATTCTTCTATACTATATATAGGCAGTCTTAATTCTATTATAATATGTACTCATAATTTAGAGATTTCTCTAGATAGATAAGAAATGTTTTCATAAAAGAGCATATCATTTCCACAGTAAATGGATAGAGATGTCAGTTAGGATTTGAGCTGTATATTAGTGCATAAATAATCACCACAACACTTAAAGACATGGTTTGTATGAGGAAGAAATCTCACTGTACCCACCTTTTTGTGAAAATTAGGCTGTGGTTACCTTTGGTGATGGTGACAAATGGGCCATCTCCAGTGAATAATACAGCTGATGACATATTTGCATGCCTGGGACAAAAAGACACATGTATATTTTTAGATATATACCCTAATCCACCAGTAGAGCAATAGTTGGGAAATGATGATGCTGATAGAATAAACACCAACTTTTTAAACTTTTTTTTCTTCTTCTCAAATAATGACCCTTTAGCAGAGGATTTTTGAGGCTTGAAACTCGTTTGGATTAAAATGTGAGTCTCTTACTTCCAGTCTTACATCTTAGTCTAAGATTTCTAATGCTTCATTCATATTGAAAGGGATATTAGTTCTTTTGACAGCAGTAAATATTTAGTTTGGTTTTTCTCTGCCACAATGAAGGGTTTGAAATATCAGTTCTTAAATGTATGGAGCTAGAACTTAGGGCAGTAATATCTGAAACTTGGGGTATCACAATCTTGTGTTTTTGAAGGGATGCAGTTATACTATAATATCTAGGAAAGAAATGAAATTGTATTTTGCATAATGAAGAATCTAATGGAGGAAAAAAAAAAGTTAATTTTCACGTCATAGATCTGCTGAAATCAGAGTGGCTATGGAATAAGTCAATAGTGTCAAGTTTGCTATTGATCAAGAGTGGAGTGTATTCATAGAGTCACAGAATCACAGAACAGATTGGGTTGGATGGAAGCTTTAAAAGTCACAATTTAAAGGAATAAATTAGTCTATTCTTCAACTAATTTTTTGGGGTTTTGTTTAGGTAGCAATGGCTTTTTGGTGAGACAAATAGTTTTGACATTTAGAACCCATATCCAGATTTACTTTCTAGTCCATTCTGCATTATGCACTTTGTGATACTTCATATGACCGGTTTAGAACACATAACTATGAAACATATTTGCTTTGCCTTGAGGAAGCATGGGGAAAAATGATAGCTGTGGTTAGACTGAATAATTTTTGGGGGGATGACAACCTCCCATTTGGCCCTTTAACCTTACACAACTCAGGAGAAATAAGGGAACCATTTGTTTAATGCACAGGGAGCACCTGCACTGTGTCTTCTCCTCAAATGCAGTAAATCTCACTCTCCTGGGAAGGATGAAGTCTGGAATCTGCCTGCAAATCTGCTGTGTATGAAATAAAGAGGTGTTCAACAACCCTGCTGTGCCACCAGGAGAGTTGTATGATCCACCTGCGGGAAAAGTCACTACTGCTGCATTTCCCAGCCTAGAAGTGCTTTTAGACAGTCTGAGAGAGCAGTAAAGTGCCAAGCCAGGTAGGCAGAGTCAAATTCTGTAATGAAGAACTTTGCTGAGACCAGCAAAGTATTCCCAGGACCTAATTGCCTTCTGAAGAATGTTGCAAATTCATGAAGAAAATAGAATGAAGGGTTGCAGAATAAAGACTAAAAACTCTCACTCTTGTTGGATTTTTAGGTGTGATAAAATTGCCAGGTCTACCCCCATTCCTGGGTACAATTTAGCAAAGGCCCAGCTGGCTCTGGTCCCAGGGAAACAGGATTGTTTTGCATTGGCCCAATGCAATGGTGAAAAGCTCAGTGTGTGATTTCCTTGGTTCCAGGAAAAAAGATGCTGACAACAGATTTTAGCAGTGCTGTCAGAGGCACACAGATACAAGTGCAAGCTGAGCAAAGGATAATTTTCATTTTTCTCCAGAGCATCAATTTGCTCATCTTGCAGCCCAGACTAATTAAGAAGATTTGCAAATTATTTGCTTAAGGTGTGTTTTGTAGATGCACGATAAGCATGTCCCCAGACTGGCTTCTTGTTTGGTACAAATCACAAATGCAACGGCCACATATTTAATAAATGGAGGCAAAAGGATTCACACTGAGATTTACTGGAACCTGTGAGGAACATGGCACTTTGTAGCCTGGGTACATAAATAATCAGGATATGATACAGGACTCCTATCAGCTCAGTCCTTTTCATAAATTAAACAGAAAGTGAGACTAGCAAATGTATAAGCAATTAATAGTAAAACTAAATTGTCCTAGATGAACTTTAGCCTGTCTTTCTAATAAAACATGATTCTAGGTAGTAATTCAGTGTAGGAGCATGAGCTACAGCCTACTCATCACCTGCTATTGCAAACATCCATTTAGTAACAAATGTGGTGATGCTTATTAAGAAATATGCTGCTACAGGGGGAGTCAAGGAAAGCAGAATAGTGTGGTGCTCACCGAAGTTACACACACACACACACGCACACACACACACACACACATATATATATATATATATATACACACCTATTCATGTATTAATATATACATAAATATAGACACACCCATATGAGAATTTTGTCCTGTGCTGTAACTGCAGTAGCACCCAGGTTACAAAAATGTAATACAAGTTAGGTTTAAAAATATTTTTTCTAGACAATGGGAGTATGTAATAAACTGAGAATGCTATGAAGAAAAAAAGCATTAACTATTATTTAATAGTTCCTTCCATGGAAGGAAGACCTTGTTGAAGCTTATCAAATATGTCAATTAAATCAGTAGACCACAAAATTACTTCTGTCCAGAAGGGACAGGAGGCAAGGTAGGGGCAGAAAGAATCAGAGGAAGAAGGCCACTCTAAGGAATCAGGTGATTTGACCAGAAGAAGATTTACACACAGTTTGTATGTTCTTATATGTATGCATATATAAATTACAGTCAGGACTGTTACATGTAGCTACCTGATTTTTATGTAAACTCAGTACTCACCCAATGGAAAAAAGTAGAAAACCCAAAAAACCAGCAGACATTCATCCAATTAGAAGCATTTCTGAAAAAACTCTTGGATATTTTTCTAAGTCATTCTAACTCTGTGATTACTGCAATTAATTTATAGGAAGGGGATTTTTAAGCATCTTTCTTTGGTCACAGACCAAAATAATGAATTGTAAGGTCAGAATTTAGTTTGATCATAAGTTGTGTGAGTGACATTCCCTAAAAAATTCATCCCTGCAGGAAAGCTAATTATTATTTAGTGGATGGAAGTGGAGTAGAACATGATGTAAGTAAGGCCAAACTTTAGGCCATAAATTTTACCACAGATTGAAAAATGCCACACCCTGCACTCAACAATCCCAAGTTTCCCTTGAAAATTCTGAACAGGGACTAAAGCCAAATCTATATTTCTGCCATATACTTCGCTACTCTATCCTTGCTCTAAGTCCACCATTCTACCTAGCAGAATTCTAGAATTCCATTCTATTCTAGCAGAGTATCCAAATGATGATCTCTACTTGGAATGATCAGCAGCACTACAAAAGCTGAGCAGCCAAGGCTGCTGTTGGCTCCAGCTTTACTCTTGAGCCATCCTTATGATAGTGAAGATGCAAATGATGACATAAAGTGATAAAAGGGTGATGCATCCACAACACTTTCCCAGTGTTCTCCAGTATGCATCCTCATGCCCAACCTGCCATGTTCAGAGTCATCAATCCTGTGCTGAATGTCATCAAGACAGAGTTTGCCACATTCTCAAATTTGTTGGCACACCAAGCGCTGCACTTGACAGAGACAGATACATTTGCCATTTTTTTGGAGAGTACACCAGTGAAACAAGGAGGAAAATGCCAATATACACTCAACAAATCTGCAAACAAGTCACAAAGGGCAATGAATATTTATCACTCACCCCAACCCCAGCAGCTGGCAAACACTGTCTGAAATCTCTCCACTCCAATCCTCTGCACATGCCAGGTGCCACGACTCCCCAACCCTGGCCTGTACCAGCCCTTCGGTGCTCTGAGAGCCATTGAGCAATCTCACTGGGGAATAAAACATGCAGAAGCATTTTACATAGGTGACAAACAACTTTCCACCCCAAGCAAACAGAAATGTAATATAAAGAGATTTATTATTGCCAATGAAGAATACAAAAAAAAAGGTAAAATGCTTTATAGAGGTAATAAACCCAGCATCTCCAAGATGTGCTCCCACAGGAAGGAAATGCTATTGTTATTTCCTATATTTCTGCCACAGGAGAGTTTCATACCTTGTATTTTGCAAATGTCTCAGAAATAGACAATAAACAGTACATTTTCCATCAACTCTAAACAATGCATTTTTTTCTTAGTCAGCATTATACAATTTCCAAATAATGAGTGAAGCCTTAGTTCCATAATGCTCAGTAATACTGACTGGAAATAAGGTTAAAAAAAATTATTTCCAATTCCAATTGCTACTATTTTCACTGCAGTTTTAGTTAAAACAGTCATACTAATAATTAAAGCTCACTGAAAAACCAGTCCTTGTATAAAAGCTTTTCCCAAAAGAAAATATACAGAACAAGAATTCAGAAAATCTAACTTATTGGTAAAAAGTCTTATGCTGTCAGCATAGAGACTAAGGAAGTTGGACTGTATGGCCAACAGAATCTCATGTATGTACATCTATATAAAATAAGAATTTTATTATATAATCTCAGATTTATATATAATAATGTCAACAGAGTCTCATATATGACCTGGCAGCTACAGCTGCATTTTAGGCAGATTACATGTATTGCCATTGAGAAGTAGAAAAAGCATGCAATGCATTGACATTTATTGTTTTCCAAAATATTTTTTAAAAAAAATCTTACTTGTGCAAAAAACATTTTTCACCAAAATGCTTTCACATAGAGTACCCACCATAGTAAATAAAACATTTAGATTTTTAGAAATGCCTCCGTGACACCTGGAGTGCATGAATGCAAGGGGTGATTTACACTGATTAATTAATTAAAGGTAGATTTTAGATTAAATTAAATTAATTTTTTGAGCTTCTTAAGCATATTGGAATTGTTTGCACTGCAAGATTTCTCCAAATTACTTTTGACACCTCTCTTCTTGAGAGAACTTGAACTATAAGTCCTTTTCCTTTCTACTCATCAGATCCACGTTCTTCTTCAAATACATCATTGGTAAGGAATAATAAAGTCATTAAGGATCCAACAACTGCTTAATTCAGATATCATATATTTTAGAATTTTGGCATTTCTTTGCAATCCCTGGAAGTTTCAGAAGTTGGAAGATTTGAAAAGACAGTTTGTCTAGTTCAAGTTGCCACGTCTGATAAGTCATTAAAATTGGTTTCAGGAAAATGAGCAAGGCTTTTGGACACTGGAAAGACTCAATGTGAGAGTTTCTAATTGAATTTTCATTTTGTTTTAAGACATAGATTGATTTAGCCAAAGTTTGGATTAAATGGGTTTTTGGAAACAAATCTCCCAGGCTTTTCATGTGAGGTAATTTGTTATGAAGTAATAGACAATCAGTGGCAAAATAAATCTTTGGGAAAATGTATGTCATGTTAAAGTAGGTGATGGTTTTCTTGTTCAGATCTACTTCAGCAATGAATGGAAAAAATAAATTCAAGTTTTCTTAAGAAGAAAACTGAAGTGAATTTTATTCTATACATTTTAAAGGATGAATATGTGGCTATTTTGCCACAAAATAGCCAATGGAACTAATTTGAGGAGTGAATCTGTGTCTTCAGACATCTATCTATATATCTGTCTATCTTTCTATCTGTCTGTCTATCTATCTATCTATCTATCTATCTAATCTATCATCTATTACATGTATTTGCATATGCCATGTATATTTTTATGTATATGCATGTCAAAAAAATTTGAAATCAGCAACTGACTGTCAGCACATATCTAAAACACATCTGACCCCTAGTAGAGCTCCTTAAAACAAAGGAATTGTGCTAAGCTTAAAGACCACCATAAATTTTCCTTTAGTTCTCCAAAGTAGATTGTCAGAAAGACCAGTTTTACTGCTGAGCTAAGGCAAACATGATTTTAGCATTAGTCTTACATTTAAATTATTTATTTCCCTGCTATGTAAAATGAATTCAGATACTGTACATATGCATTTTGGAATGAATTTGGAAATTTGCATCTTGGAATTTCTTTGGAAAGAACCACTTTACTAGAGAAGTAAGGAATAGCAGTGAACAATGGATGCTGCTTTTGAAGCTGTGCCATCCATTCACCCCATGGAGTCCAGGTGGGCTGGAGGGTGCCACGTGTTATAGTTTGGCTTCACACCCACAAAACTATTTGGGAATTTCCACCAAGAACATGTTTATTCTCTACCCTGCACTGCAGAATTTTCACTCTAATTAATTACAGCAAAACCCAATATAATTTGGAAATACAAAATAAATACAGAAGAAAAGCATATGGTGAGTTTTCATTTAATTTTGAGGCCGTTAAAAACAACTACAGTTTTCAGCACAGAGAAGCTTCCTACCTTTTCCAGAGTTCTTCACCAGATTCCATACACTATCTCAGAAAAGTGACTGTTTTCCTGGTCCTGACAAGCTCAGTGAGCTATTTCTGTGCAAACTGGCATGGCCTGCAGTGCTCTACACCAGCTGAGCTTCTGTGGCCGTTTTCCTGGCAATTCCTGCTAAATATGCATGGCTTGGGTTTGATATTAGGGAAAAATGTCTTCACCAAAAGGGCTGCTAAGCATGTCAACCTGCAAAATGATGGAGTCACCATCCTTGGAAGGATTTAAAAATGTGGAGATGTAGCACTGAGGGACATGGTTTATCAGTGAACTTAGCAGTGCTGGAGTAATGGTTCAAATTGATGATCTTAATAATCTTCCCAAACCTAAATTAATCTACGTTTTCTTTGTAAGAAGGAAACCTTACTGCATTTTGCTTCGTCAGAGCCATCTTCACACTGAGGGACGTTGTCACACAGGTTGTGCAATGGGATGCATTTCCCAGTACCGCACTGATGCTCATCAACTGTGCAAGCCCCTGAAGGGAAACGAGAGGAAAATTAATCTGTAGTTGTGAGGAAGGTTGATGTTCACAGGAGGTCTTATAGTTCACCTGAAGAAAACTGTGTAAATATTATGAAGAACCTTTGATTTCCTTTTCTTTCCATTTCCACCCATCTCTCTTTCAAAATAAAGATAATTTTCAGATAAATAGAAGATAATTAAGAATTTGTGGTACTCTGCCTTGTACTTTCTGCTCTAGTTAGTGTTGCTCAGTTAGTAGTGTTCTTCCATTGCAAGTGATAAACATGGGATTGAAAAGTCAAATCCTGTCAAAAGTGGCTAATGATTTCAATTTTCAAATGTTCATCACTTTCACAAATTTTAGAGATGTTAAGCTCTGTCAAATCAAGCATATGAGCAAGAGGCAATGAGAGCTGAGTCTCCTTCTGAAATGTATTTGCTGGGAAAGGTGGAAGAAATAAAAGTAAATTGAATGAATGAGGAAAGTGTTCATAAAAGCTACTTCAGAATCAGTTATACAATAAAGACAAATGAGGGACAGAGTAAATATAAAATTATAATTTTTTTCTGCAGCCAAAATATATTTTTAATAGCTTCATTCGTATTACAGGAAATATACAGGCATAAACTTAAATTCAACAAATTGTTTACTTTACCTTCCTGGACGTACTGACAGAAATATTTGATTATCTATAAGTCTTATTTAAAGCAAGATAATTGCTTTACTTCTGAATTTTTAATATTCTTATAAAATGATTCATTCATCAATCAGCATGGTTTGTACCAAATGGAAGCAGAAGAATATGGTTTTTAAAAAGCTTGAACCAGATTTTCACACATTCAGTGTCCATAACTAATGACATATATTACACAGAATTTAGTTCTTAATTGAAAGTGTTTTTATTATATTGCATCCTGCCAAAACTTATTTCTGTTCAAATAAGTCTTACTTTTCCAAAACCCAATAATTCATAGAAAAAAAAAAAAACAAAGAAAAATTTGATTTCTTTTAAAGTTAATTTTTTTACTTACAATCCTTTTGTCCTTAAGCCTGCATGCTAATGATATTAGTCTCTCTCCTTTGGCTGCAAAGATCATGAATAAGCATAATTCTTTTGCAAATGGAACATTTAAAATATATTTAACCAGAACTGGCAATGGCAACTCTGAGAATTCTGCCTTGCTAAGCTTAATTTTCATTTTACTAAGTATGGGCGAGGCTGGCCCAGTAAATATGCTGAACCAGCTATAAAAGAAAAAGGCAGAGAGTTGTTGGACTGAACAAATGTGATTGAGAAGGCAGAACATGAAGCAGCAAAATTTTCATATGGACATTTAAACTAACATCTCAGTCTTGCACAATGGGATTAAACAGAGTTAATTTTATAAATGTAGACCAAAGGTGAAGATTTTAAAAAATATTAATAAAAGTAATATTATTGTTACTACTGTGAATCCATGAAAAATCTGCCACTGGCTAAACAAGCTGGGAGAAACTTGAAAGATTTCTGAGAGTTAAAGTAAGAAATAGAGCCTAGATCCTTGCTGATTTTCTGTTCCGGTAAGTGCATGGTACTTCACACATTTCTGAATACATACTGCTTTTTCTTTCTCTGTTCTTCTCCTGTCAAACTTCTACACAAGTAATACAAAGCCTCTAATTAATGCAGTCAAGATGTGGCCTAGAGTTTGTATAATTATTTGTCCTGCTAAGCTTATTACTGTTCCATGTAATTTGCATTACGCTTCATTTTGCATATTTTGGTGAGTTAATTGCTGAATTATGAGTGACAAGTCTAATTGCAGCCCCCAAGAAAATCAAAAGCCTTTCAGGAGGGATCTGGCTGGAACCAGAAACACTGCTGCCCAAATATTTAAGAGACTAGTTCTTAGATTATTCACACACTGAAGACCAAATTTTTAGAGATGCAAGAAGGACTATATTACAAATATTGATCAGAGTTACCACACACAGTGGTATATTTTCTTTTCTAGTGCATGTTATCAATAGTAAATATTCTACAAATGCATTTAAACACACTTTAACGACCCACTGAAATTATTTAAAAAGTGATATATTTTCCTGGGGTTTTTTGTGGGTGTTTTTTTTTTGTTTTGTTTTGGTTTGGTTTTTTGGCACTTTTTTTTTTTGTTTTNTTTTTTTTTTTTTTTTTTTTTTAATAGGGAATTGTTAGTATTTGCCCTCTTAGCATCTGAAAAGATTTTGGTCAAAATAATGACTCAATTTTCCGCATAGTATCACAGAGTTGCACATGATCTAGACATTGCTCCAATTACACTAGGAAACAAACCCATCACTTTTGCTGCCAGGAAATATAAAGTACAGATGAGTAACCAGCCTTTTTCTTTTTAACATTTCCATTTTTTCTACTGAGCAAGTGCTGAGAGTCACTTTGCACTCCCCATGTTTTCTGAAATACATTTGGCCAGTGGTTTAACCTCATAATTACAAAGGTTCAGATGCTTACTCAGATGGTAGCCAGTGGTGAAGTTTGCAAGAAATCCCTTCCCAGTTGAAGACTCGTCTGTCCGGAGGATCACTGTCATCTGGTTTGTTGCAGAGAAGACATCTGGCAGAGGGCCTCTCTCTGTGTAGACAGCTGTTCACCAGGAAAACATGAGTACATTCAACATATTTTGTTCCTGTGTTTTTCAAAATGTTCTGGGTTCACCACAGGGATGTAGCTGCTCCCCCAAACCTAACTCAGATTGCTGTGGTCAGAGCCCAACATCAGGTTTGACTAATCAGCATAGAGCAATAAGGTTCAGCTAAGAGATTTTCCATCTGTTTGTCCACACATATAAACAGTCTGACTCCCTGAGAATTTCATCTCACACGGATTGCATGGAGAGCTGAGTGCATGCAAATGTTTTGGAAACCTGGTGTCACATAAAGTATGCTTTCTCAATTTTTTTTCTCTGAATTTCCTCTGAAATGAGAGGAATTTAATTTCCATGATATTATATCCATCAGTTTGCTCCAGCTGTCTGATTACATTCATTTTAGTACCCACTGGTGCTACTTGCCCAAAAGTAAGGAATCTGGTCCTCTGCCATCTCTGATTTCAACCACATCATAAATATTTTCCAGATCAAAGACCTGAAAATGAAGCTGGATGTTTTTTCCATTTTCAGCATTCAAGTACCACACACCTGGAAAAGAGTAAAACACATACACTCACCTTTTAAATCACCTTTTCTGTTGTTACATTTACTGTGCCTTTTTCCTGTTGAAGGGCTTTGGGGGGGAGGGGGGGGGGGAATCTCCTAAATTGTTATTAATCACCCAAGAAATTAAGAAGTTTAAATCTTGTATTTAAAAGCTGTCAAGAACCAAAATTCTATTGCTCGTCATTCTCAAAACATTTTCAAAAACTAATTTTAGGCTTCTACCACATATACACGTGTTTTTAATCATTTGTGTCAGCTGTGAGTTTTCTCAAAGTAGTATATCCCACTATTTTCTGACAGTGACAATGTGACAAATAGTCTTGTCACTTAAGTCTCATTTAATAGTAAGAAAATTTTTATAATCAGTCACAGAAGCCTGTCTTTGAAGTTAAAATAGCTCTTTACCTCTGTTTAGCCAATACTTTCTCATATTTCATCTAAGTGTGGATACTATACAAATCTTGTAAAGAAAGTAAAAAAAATAAATTTCATGGAGTGAAAAGTATTTTCTCACTAGCAGGATTCTCATTTGGGAACTTGTGGAATGAATCCTGGAAATGTGAGACATATCTCAAGTGAACAAAAACACAAAATGACAACTCTTATGATTACCACCCCAGCACAATTCTCCAGAATTGAAGGGATAAATAATTAAAATTTCATTAAGAAGCAATGACAAAACTCTCTTCCTTGCTTTATCCATCAACAAGACATAGTGATCCTCCTTGAAGCATTCACTTTTGCCAGCTCTCATTTAATCTAAATCAAGTAACATCAGTAGAATAAGATCTCACTAGTGTGTTAAGAAACATTCAATAAAGAGAGGATTCTTTATAAAATGCATGCGCATATTCTTTGCCTCTAGAAAATGTGAGCTATTTAACAGCAGAAGTGATGATATTAACCTGGCAGATACACCAGGTTATGGCAAAATGGGGACTTTCATCACCTTATGTGCTGCTGCATTGACATAAAGACATTTGACATCAGAGGCAGGATGGAATTGGCCTGTCTGGACCTGTTCCATTGGATTATGCTTGTTTTCATCCCTTTTTATTCAGCTGGCACGTAATTCCTTAGCTTCTGCTCAGTTCCATATAGCATGCAGTTAAAAGATCCCACTGTATATACCTTAGATGTTTTGTTTGCTTAACAGTGTCTGAGTTGGAAAAGCAGATTTAGTATCTCTACTTTTATATGGTTAAACTTCGCCTGAAGATTTGGAAAAGAATGACTTACAAGAAGCTAAATTAGGGTAATTGTTTGGAAAGTTTGCAGAGCTGAATGTACTGTTTGGCTCCCAGAGTTCAACCGGCCCTCCACAGTCAGCTGGAAAAGAAAACATTTCAAAACCACAATTAACCTGCTCTCTTAATCCTTTAATCTGTGGTAACAATGACAATTTCTAAAAGTAATATTCATGATTATTGGTTTGCACACATAACCATGACAGAAATAAGAAGACAAGAATATGATACAGTCATCTGCCTCATTTACAGTAATAAAAAAGCTAGAACCTAGCTAGTGCCTGACCACTCTTTTGGTGGAGAAATTATTCTTGCAGCATCAGCAGAGATACCCAAATCTAAAGCTCCTTTTGTCATCTAGCAAGTAAACTTCCAGCAAAAACCCACAAACCATTCCTTTGTTTTCTTCAGGACCCCAAAACCTTTTACAGCTAAACCTTCTCAGTAGTTAAACCAATCATTTGCCTTTTCCTTAAAACAACTGTTCTAGTAGGAAAGACCTTTGTCATCAAGATGTATATGTATTTACAGGTAAAAATTAATAAAATTTCTGTAAACACAAATATTGTAGATCTCTGTACACACATAAAGATGCACTCACAACAGGGACACAGCTAACTCTATATATTCAATACTTTGTTTCAGTTATAATTTTGATGGTGGTTTACATCCCAAATATATCAGCTTTGTGTTCAAAAACTTTACTTGATATTGAGAAATATTATTTCTTTTCATTTTAGCCATCAGAATGACTAAATGAAATCACTTCATTCAAAATGAACAGTGCTCCTCCACTTGCTTCAGGAAATCGTAATTAAGGCAAAATAGCTTTACCTTACATATATTTTTTTAATGTTTTATCTCTTGAATTAAAATTGTTGCCTTTTTTTTTTTTTATCTCTCAGACTTTGGCTAAACTTTAACTCTCTCCTCCCCACCCCTTATGGCTCAAGTTTGCATGCCATGATGTCTGATAGCATCTCACACTCTGAGCCTCTTGGTTGGGGACTGCATAATCTATAAATTCTGCCAAGTCTGACCGCTGAATCCCATTGGCAGAAAGCTTAAAAAAAAAAAAAAAGAACCAAAACCCCAAAACCAAGAAAAATTTGAACTTCCTCACAACAGCCATTTTCTAGAACTTTCTATTTCACTGAATCACTCCTGGCAAGAAAAGCCAAAAGCTCAGAAAGGAAAAGGAACTGTTAACAATCTTATCCTGACTAATAATTATATTATGTTTCAGCCATATGGCTCACAAGGAAGATTATTTTCTATAAATACCATGGACAGCAGATAAAGATTACATTTTTTTTAATGGAATATTACGGCTCCTGAAATCTGATCTGGTCTTGACTACACATAAGGCACATTAGTAATGATCTTTGTCTATCATGGAAAAATGAGAGAAGAAATTGAATTTACTAATCTCTTGAAAAAATGTTTTAAAAGTTTCCAGTGATCCTTGAACATAAATTCATAAGGAGTTATTCATACAGCTGAGAACCAAATAGTAATCACTACCAACAGTCTTGGTTGAGCAAAAGAGGTGTGAGAGAGCACAACTTCTCTCAACATTTCAGAAATTGTATATGACCTGTATCTCTGTTTTTTGGTCTAAACTTCAGTTTATATTGACATAAGTATGGAATGTACACTTTTCCACACTGTTGTTTGTGTTAAAAGATAGATTATAAATTAACATGAAGATGAAAGCAATCTTTGTTTTAGATGAAAGTGTAAGGTGACAGACTTGTACAAAAGACAAAAGCAAATTCGGCTTTTCCATGCCACCATCAAAAATATCCCTTTTTACATTTCAAGGAGCTTTTGTGGCACTGTGAATGATGCCAGTGACTCGTACTGAAGCTCTAATTCTAGTAAAAGAAATTGACACAGCTCAAATTCTTTCATGTCTTGTTTATGGACATGACATTTGCAGTGAAATCATTAGTGTTAGTAAGCTTGTACACATTCATCAAAGTCATTTCATACTTTGAAGATGATTGATAACATTCACTTTTTTTTTCATCAGGTTACAGATAACACGTAGCAGTTATTTTTCATAAAAATATGAAAGTTGTTTTCTCCCCAGCAACAGCTTAGACTGTCCTTTTGTACCATGGCTCCCTTTAATCTCTTTCATAAGGAGTTATAAGCCATATTACCATGTCCCTTTTTAGAATGCTAACATTTTATGACCATGCACTGGGCAGAGATGTATAGTTTGATATTCCTTTGGTGTTTCTCAGAAGCACTCAGCCACTTTTAGCACAGGGCTGTTCCACCACTAATCATGAGTGCTGCTGACTTGTGAGGTGTGTTTACCCACAGCACCTGAAGGTTAGCTGGAGGGGGCAGGCATCAGCATCTCTCCACAAAATTACTTTAATAAAAACCGCTATTGAATTCCAAAACTCATTTTGAGAAACTAGGACTGAAATTACTACTGTTATTAAAATTTCATTTTGCTTGACAGACACACCTTGTTGAACTTTACCTCCCTGTGTCTCATGATGGAGCTCTGAAACTGCATTTTACTCTTCTATTTAAAAGGTTTTTGCTTACCTGTCCTGATACAATAGATTTGGAGGTACAGATTGGAGGGAATAATAATAGTATACAGTGTTTCAACATGAATACAATGTGAACAGTCTTACTACTATTTTAATTTTAGACCATTTAGACTATATTTTAAATTTTTTATTTTGTCTACAGAGAAACCAGCTGTGCTTTGAAAGGCACAGTAAATCTAATAAAAGGCAGTCCTGGAACCTGCTCAATGTTTGCTTTAATGAATTGAATCTATATTTGAACAGGCCTTTTGTAGATTTTTTTTTTTCCAAAATTTCATCCACTTGCAGAATAAATTACAAAGCGAGCCCCATCCCAAATTTTAATGATATTTGCACAAGGAAAAATCATTAAAATATCAGATTTTTTAGATTTTATCAGATTTTAATTTTTTTTTTTTTTTGGTTTTTCCTTTGAATGGGCTTGGACTTCTTTATCATCATATACAATGTTTCCTCTCTCTTTTATATAAGTTATTCAGATTTATAAGGATAGTTACAGGTATTCTCTGTGTGGTTTTTTTTTTTTTATTTTTTATTTTGCTGTGAGATTTTCCTGTTTAGCTCTGTGAAACTGGAATGCTTGGAGTAAGATTTGACCTCTGTACTTTGCTCTAAAATACTCTGCAGCTGGAAGGGTCTGGAGAGGCATGGAGCTTAATCTTAGTGTGTTATCCTGGAGATAATTTTTTAATGCTGACGAGAGGTTTTTATAAAACTGAAGCTGAAAATTCTGATCCACTCAAACTCAGATACATCAAGAGGAAATTAACAGTGATTTGGTGTTGACTTACTGGGAACCAGTGGGGTGGTGGCAGTAGTTGGCCTCACAGTGGGCTCTACATAATTGTCTTGGTTACACTTTCCCTTTGTCAGGCCAATGTCATCCACGGCAATGTCACTGGGACCACGCCTTTTAAAGGCATCAAAAATAACCTGAATTCAGGAAAAAAAAAAAAAATCTGAATTTTATAAATTAATGAACCATTTTCAGCTTCCTAGGCTGCACCATTCTGTCTTTGCTTGAATGCTCTTATTTCCACAGTAATCTACATTGCTGCTACACTCAGGGGAAGGTGTTGGGGATGAGAGAGAATTTCTCACAAGACAAAACAGCACTATGCAAACTGAGTGGATCATTCGAAGGAATGTAGTAGCTTCTTCATTAAAATGATGGTCATGATTCAAAAATATTCAATACCTTTGCTTTTTATATATATATATTTAAATGTAATTTTAAAAACAGTTCTGCATTGCTCATCAGCCCAAACTTCTCCTAAACTAATGGCACAAAAAACTAAAATTAAACTCATTTGTTCTTTACTGTTGTTTAATATCCACATATTTAAAGTAATCCTGCAAACAAGGAATTAGTACTGATGAACTACAGTTAGATATAGCAATCTTCTTGAGATCATATGTGGTTGCAGATTTCCTGGAAATCTGATGCATCCAGGTCACAGATGCATTTATTTCCTCAGATGTTAAATGCATCTTTCTAGCAGTGCTTGCCAGAAATCAAGCAAAACTACTGTAGCAAGGAAAACCATCCCAAATGCATATAAAAAGACATTGTTTTCAAAAGAGAGGTGCTGAAAGAATTGTCTGGAATAAACCTCATCCTTTTGTTTACAAATAAGTCAAAGTCAGTTGTTAATCATTGCACTTCCATCTGCAACACACTTTCAGTGGATTAATCTGTAAGTAATTAGTGAAAACACTGATTCACAATCTGAAGTAATTTAAATTGAAATCTTCTCATGGCTAAATGCTTCACATCACCCTCACTATTGAGATTTTATATTCCACAGCAGATTTTGATAGGCTTTGAACATTTTTGTTTTGTGGAAAGCTCTCATGATAACATTCATTGTTCCTTGACAATGATCATATTTTCTGAAATATTAATACTTTAAGTTCCAGAGTAGGGAAGGGGGGCTGTGGGAATTTAAATGGGGATTCCAGTCTTCTGTATGCTAATATTTATTTGAGGGTAGATATTTTAAAATGATACTAAGTATTATCTTTGGAATAGTGGAATTTTGGATTCATTTCACAAAAATCTCTGACATCAGTTTAGCTAAAATAAATGAAAAAAGAAAAAAAAAAGCAGCTTAACAAACCTTAAAATCAGAAGTCTCATTTAAAGTTACTTGTCCATAATTCCAGTTGCTTCCATAGTTTCCTTCTTTCTTGAAAATTATCTTTTCCTTACCACCCTCATTGCTTATGCTGACTCTTAAACGGTAAACATTATCCCCATACATGAAATACCTAGAGGGGGAAAAGCATTTTATTAGAACAAAGTCAGAATTAGAACAAAGTCAGAATCCATGAAAAGATGTCACTCTTTTTTATTTTATAATATTTCATGAAATCAGGATTAATTTGATGCAAGCATGAAAACAATATTAATTGCATGTTTAAATTACACCTGGAAGTGTAGAGGCCTAATTAAGCACATTAAAAAAAAAAAAATTTCAAGGATTATTAATATCTTTTTTGCATAGAAATCAATATTGGATGCAGGGTGAAAAATAAAACACTTCATAGCTAACTGCAAAAGTCAAAGCTGTGAAGGAGTTAAACTTCAGGTTGGAGCTGAGACTGATTGTGGAAATCCAAACAGAACCAGGCTGGTGCTGCTGGCATGCTGAGTGGGAATAATATTTTAAATGAAAGAAAGCTCTTTGGGTACATTCTTAGACAAAATACAAGTTTAGGAATTATGTAACAATACCAGAAGCTTAGACAATAGGTGTCTGAAGGGACCAAAGGCAAACTCAGAATCCGGACCCGCTCTTCTATGAATCCAAGTCCAATGGGTGTTGAAATATAAAATCCTGCAAGATAATGGTCACACTTTAGCCAGGACAGAAGAAATTTCTTTTTTGCTTTTTTACTTATTGAATTAGAGTTTTTATATTTAAAATAGCATCAAGCATAGACAGTGTTCCATGCTTTGGAAGATTCCCAATACAGTAAATGTCAGGGATTATCCCAAGATACATTCATCAGTCAATGAGATATTAAATGGAGCTTTTAAGCTTCTTGGATACTCCTCAGAACTAGATAAGCAATGGGATATACTAGTCCAATATAGCCCTTTCCAAGTCAGTGGGAATTCTGCCTTATATTCTGTGAAGGGGGAAATTCTCCTGCCTTTATAAAAATGTTTGATACTGCTTGTGATTTTGCAGAAGAATTTCCTAACATTTTCATAATTTGTATCCACAAATGACAATGGGAAATATGGATTGTGTGTTGAGAGGATGGCAGAATGACTGTGAATATTTTATAGCAAGGTAAGGCATTATAAAAAAACAAACAACAACAACAACCACAAAATTTATGTGTGAAATTGAGTTTGTAGCTTTTTTCTGAGATAATTTGTTGCAGCTGGGAATTTGGACTTCTTGTTGCCATATGAGGCCAGGCCATAGAAGCACTGGGAATTGTCATAAGAAATGCAAACTTAGGCAGCTTTAAAATAAAATTCTTGCTTTATTTAAATCATGGATGTAATCTTGTATTTTCTTCTATCTAACCAATACATATATAAGCAAATATTATATTAACAGAATTTTTAAATTAATATAATTATAATTATGTGAATTAAATTATATACACTGTATTTTGTTATTTATATTTCCAGATTATCTAATTTTTTTCATGTGGGAGGCTAAAATTCCTGAAAATTAATCTGAAATATGAATCAGTCTTTTAATTTTCTTCCTTCACTTAGAGAGCCTGCAGTAAAATAGAGATGGTGTCTAACTTAAAGAAAAAAGTTCTTCATATAGTCAAAGGGACAATTCTCTGTCTTTGTTTCAATCCTCTGAGCATTCATAATCAATTTCTGAATGTGTATTAAGGCCTTTACTTTTTTGGAGAAGAAAAAAAAAAAAAAGTGTTTCATGAATGTAATAGCTTGATATTTATGATGCAATTTCCTCAAAATACAGGTCACAGAAATTTAAATATGCAATACAATAGTAACATTACACATAGGAACATTGCATATTTCAGCTTAGACTTGGTGTAGGAAAACTGAGAGTCCCTAAAATGCATTAATATTTTTGAGAGAAAGAAATCATTGTCAAGTGTTTTGTTAAAAAAAATTACATTCTTTCATCTGATTTGCATTCTAGGAGCCCAATGGGAAGACAAAACAGTGTTATGAAGATTGTTTAGAAAATGTGCATTTACTCAGAGAGGGGTGAATAATTTCTATCTGATAAAGAGCAGAATACTATTTTTCTTTTCTCAGGAGTAACTTCTTTCAGAATAATTTGCAATTTTCCCATTCATTTGTCACTGAATAAATTTTATGTAAGTCTTGCATAGAATACATATAAGCATTGCAAAATCCAATTTGTATTTTATCTTGTTTTAGCTGGACTGACAAATCAGCTGAGAGAGTGATTGTTTGGCTTTATTATTAAAGTAGAAAAACACTTATGGAATCTAATGCTGGTATAGGGATTCATGATACATTCAAAATCTAATTCCTATCAGTATTGTCTCTTTAAATAGATTCCCCTTTTGATATGACCACTCTTCCAATTAAGTTATTTAACTCTAATAGTTACTGGAGTGTTTGTGGGGTGTTTGGCACAGTTGGTGTCTTTGCTGTGCAGTAACCAGGGACACAGATGCCCTCTGAAAACTGCAGGTCAGCTTTATTCAAATCAAAATTATTTTGTGACAACCATGAGGATGTTAGCAGTAGAGAGGGATGAAACAGAAGTGATTTGCCTAATAATGCAATTATACTTTTTTTTGCCCCTCAAGTTAAACATGCAGGTTTTTGACCTATAACATTTTTGCCCAATAGAAATTCCTTTCTCAGATGAGGCATTTTGGCGCAATAAAAGCATTGAAATTTTTAGTACTTCACACTTAAATAATTTTACTTTTTTTTTTCTTTTAGTTTTGGTATATTTCCACAAGAAGGCAATCAGAAGGATAAAACATTTAATCTGGCAGCACTGACATTTTTATGGCAGAATAATACAACATTTTAGTAATACCACTATGAAGAATCCATAATGCAGTGACATAAGCTAAATCAAGTTTTTCCTTCAATCTTCAAGCCACTTTTTTGATCTTACCTGAAAAGTTGCCAAATGTATGATCAAATTCAGGACCACTCATCAAGGGAAAGGTGGGACCCTGAACTCTCTCCCAGTCTGAATCATCATCCAAATCTTGTATCCAGAAACAAAAGCCATCTTCAAAAGTGCAGTTGATTTTCTCATAATCTGCGAATAAGAACTTCTAGTAAATAAAAGATGACAGAGATGGTAAGTTTTTTCTTAGAATTACATGGGGAGCAGTGATGAATAATGTCAATTTTTAAATATGTTTGTAAACCAGCCTACAGTGACTTAATTTCCTCTTTAGGAAATGCAACAAAATTACTCAAATAAGTGTGTTTTTCTGCATGTTGTTTCTAGATGACGTTCTGAATGTTTTATTTTATAAAGACATTGTGGTCAATGATTTCATAGTGTTTAGTGAACAAGCTGGCTGAGAGGAATCTGATGGAGGTGCAGTCACAGGTTTATTTACACAGATGAGTTTTGCAAGACATCACCCTACTGCTAGATACAGGCCTGTAAACATGTGAATGGCCTTACAGAAATAATTTATTTGATATTTAAATCAGTACGAATTTATTCAAAGTGGATCTAGTTATTGGACTGAGGCCAGAAAATGTTGCGTCCCTTTCCACTGCCATTTTCTCAAACTGAAAGTGTAGATTCACCAAAATTCTGGGATAAAAAAGAAACAAAAGAGCAAACACACACACACACAAACAGAATACTTACTGTTTAGTTCACTTGCATTAAATGCAGTGTATGTTGCATTAAAGCCATTATAATTCTCTGCATAATCAGACATAAACTGTGCTGTAGCCTCATGAGAAAAGATGTAAATTGTTTCAGGATTGGTCCCTGACAGAGAAGCTGAAAACAAATAAAAAAAAACCAACATACAGTCAGAGAGAAAATAATCACAGGCACATTAAAATTTCCAGTATTGTCACAAAACCATAGTGGATTAGTTTATTGAGTCTTAAGGAATGCTTTTCCTGTTGTACTGTGATCCTGCTACAATAGCTTCAAACCCTTGAAGCATTTAGCTGTTTGGCTGACACATAAATATTCTGCATATTCCATCTCTCATATCCATCAGTATGGATATCAGCCTAGTCTTCTGCCATTTCTCATTCCCATTCTCCACCTATTTCCAGAAATAAGGAAAAACAATAATGTCTTTCTGATATTCTTATCTTCCTATAGTCTATCTTCAGAATATGCTTTCAATCTCTGATAGAATTCAGCTGTATAGACAGAGTCATATGAAAAATGGGTAAAATCCTAGTTTTCAGAGTAGAATATAGAGACAGAGATAAGGAATTATCAGTATTTCAAGATCTGAGGAAAACAATGTATTTACAAATACTTGTAAAGATTTTCAGGAAGTTTTGTAGCAATTCTCTCACCTGTTTAGTTTAGATGCTTTCATTTTATGTTACTGTGTGTGATATTACAGGAACTTCTGACAATATATTTCCAATGAAACATGGACCCCACAGGACCATGAGGCTGATAAAATTATCAAGATCATTCAAATAAGATCTCAAAAAACCAAGTAAAAATTTCATAATGTATAAGGGTTTTATCTGATCAAATTAAAAGACGGGTACATTGAAATTATAATCTAAAAGTGCAACTTTACACAGTCTTCCTTTTAAACATACATGTGCAGCTTTTGATACCTCAAAATGCTTATTTTACCACTTAGATTTTAGTATTATTAGCTGAAAAATAAACTTACCTCTTAAAACCTTGTTTTGTCCTAGTCCTTCAAAAATACTCAGCTCGTCTGCATATGGTTGTGTTTCAAAAGAAGTGAAGTTCAGTTTAATGGACAATCCTGGAGGCACTCTAAGGCAACAAAAGAAACAAACTCAAAACTGAAAATCTATTATTTGACTTCAGTAAAGTCACTGAAGTCATTGAGTGCTTGAAGGATAAATTCAGATGCAACATGAAATTATTTTAATCTAGATTATTAATCAAGATTATCTATTTGTTTCACTTTTAGCTTGTAAAATTGCCAAAGGAATTGTACATAAACCTTTTGTAACAGTGTGCGCACACTTTTATGCACTGGAGTTAAATGTATTCTAGAAACTGAATGTTCTGAACTCTACAATGTGATTATCAGCTCTAGAAGGGGTTTTTTTGGATGGTTTTTTGGAGGGTTTTGTTGTCCTCTGCATCTCATTGAATTGAATCCCTTTTTTCCTACATTTTACTCTTAGATATCGCACTGCTCAGGTAGACTTCCCAAACCCAGAGGAACAGTATCAAGATATCAACATGAACAGCAAGATACCAAAATGTCTCCTGAAAGTCCAAAACATTGTCTCTTATGACAAAAACAGGATTTGCATGCAGATTTGATGACGTCAAGCACACTCTTTGGGAAATTGTTACAAATCCAAATCATCACACCCAAAGTTTAATGACAGAAGTCACTTGAAGTAAAGCGTAAAAATTCTTGGCCTTATTTTGCTACTGTTATGCTCTATGAATAATCTATATTTAATTTGTTCTCCCATTTCCTTTCCACTAGACAGATATGGTAGTACAAATTCTAAACTACCAGCTTAGCTACCACAATGAGTTTTTTTCAGAATTCAGGGCATCAATGAAAACAAGCTTTTAACAGCAATCTGCTGGTGCTTATCAGTAACGATAAGTACAGAAGTGTGAAATGAATACTTAGATATTTTGCCTTTTAAAATTCTTTGTTGTTGTTGTAATTTTATATTTCTCCAGATGGAAGAAACAACTTTGGTTAGAAAAGAGTAAAACATGCAGTTGGAAGGTTCAGGAAGCTAAACTTCCAGGGAAATATTGAGCATATTGCTCTTTAAGGAAAGGACATTGGATCTTCATTTAGAGTTAAAGGGCATGAAAATGTAAAAGCTCTTCCTAAAGGCAATGGGGAAATATTTCTAGACAAAGGCAGATCCAATCTCAGATGTAATATAGGTTGCCTTCTAACACATTTTTATAGGGATAATAAAAATGTAGGTTATTGGAAAACCCAAAAGTTCCCTCATGGAAAAAACTCTGGAAGAAAAACAAAATTTGAGTGACACTTTGAATTTCTTTGGGCTTTACTCTCAGTGTTGACTGATTTCTTAAAGCAGTTGAGTGGAAAATTAATTCAGGTGGTTGCTTTTTGTCATTTTTCAATCTGTAATTACACATACCTGCAGAACCTCTACCATATTATTTGCAATTGCTCATGATTCTTTCCAAAATGATGTTTTTACTAGGCACATCTCTGGTTTAGATATCTACCTAATACAATGCTTTTTGCAGCTATAGCAGCTCTTGGAGCAGCACCAACAGTGTAGAAGGAAGGAGGGCACTGGGGCCATGATTATTTACTGAGCTCAAATTCTGCAATGCCATGAAATGAGGAACAAGGCAGATATACTCAGAAGGGAAAAAATTGTTTTCTTTTCCTGGGACACACCTGTATTTTAAAGCCAGGCGTTGTCAGTAATTACGGGTGAGCAGTACCACTGAGGATGAGAAGGAAAAAATGTGCTAAACAGAAGGAAAACTAGAATTTCAGGGTAAAGATGAAAGTTCTGAACAAAATCAAAGCATAACACTTTCAAAGGAGCCTTTGGAATGAGAAGCTTGAACCTTTTGCAATTTTAAAGGCAATTTCTTAATCTCCTTTGAAATCTGCCAAATTAATACTTCTCAGAATCAAAGTGCAGCCATTATTATGAAACCATAGTAAGAACTGCTGCATTTCAAAGCAGTAACTTCTGAATTGTCAGTCATAGGAAAGATTTTTAGGACTGTCTAACTTGCGATCATCTAATTTTTTTTGATATGTACTTTTGGATGAGTTTCATCATATAGTGTGGCTATTTTTTTTGTCCCTGGCCAAAGAACTGGACCTAGAGAGTCAAAATCAAACAGTTGTCCCTGTCTGTAGGTACATATCCTTGATAAAAAAATAAAAAAAATGATTCTACTTCTTGTTCCTAAGGCTTAACAGGCATTTGGTGCTATTATGTAAAAACATAATATAATATAATATAATATAATATAATATAATATAATATAATATAATATAATATAATATAATATAATATAATATAATATAATATAATATAA